CGCCATCTGACGTAGGATCGAATGTGGACATATACCTGACGTTATTCTTATAAATAAATAAATTAATAAAAAATAAAATAAATAAACATGAATACTTTAAATTATTAAATATGTTAATATTCTTTTCGAATATGAAAGATCAATATGAAAAGCAGATATTTCAAGATGGCACTCCTCACCCACCGTATTAATTTTGTGAAATTTTCAAGATGTATCTACTTGTAGCGAATTGTTTATATTTCTACTTAGTCATTTTATATTTAGTTATCGTGTTTTGTTTTTGTACATTTTGAGTGAATATGTTTGTGACCGCTTATCTTGTACTTTAATGGCCAGGAATGAGAACACAAACGAGCAATATTGGTTTATAGGTCAAAATAAACATTCATTTATCCTGGCTAATGCTAGACTTTGGGTAGTGACAGAAAAATGTCCATAAAAACTGAAAAATGTGACATTGGTATAAACTGATATGATCATTCGCTGCTAGTTAGCCACTATAATATTATACACGTGACCTATAAATATCAAAATGGAAAGAGACGGGTTTTTACTTCAACTTAAATGCTTTTCGTTTTACATCAAAATTAATCAAAACATTGAAATTATTTTTGTCACGGTTGGTATTGAATATAACATACATTATACAACTTATTTTGTTTTAAACATCTGGAGGATACGTAATAAAATAATAATATAAAAGTAACACATTCTGTTTAACCACAGTATATATAATAACCCTGGAGTCAGTATTACAGTCCAGGATATGATTCGTAATATTTTTTACATCGGCTAAATAGATAAATTGCTAAGTTTTTTTAACGATTTGTGGTTTGACTGAAGCATATTTGCTCATACTATATGCATAAGTTGTTTTTAACCATTTATAATATTATTAAAAATACATTTAAACAAAAAAATGTAAGCGTTCCTGCTACACGTATGCATATTTACATTTCAATTACAAAATAATTTATCCAAATATTTAATTCAGCTTGGTCTTCACAAGATTTTTTGTCATCTTTTTTTTTTTATTTCGCTTGAATCTGAGTTTTATCATGTTTACTTATAAAATTTCACGGCTAATGCAAAGGTAGACAGTGAGGTTTTTTTTAGATAACATTGCAAAAATATGTATGCAAATATATGGGTATCTTTAAACTGATCTAACTGTTTCGAGCTATTACGCCTAACATCTGAAAAAAAATATAAAAAAATGGACTAAGGTTCATAATTATATGACTAACATTATCTTTAAGCTGTCAAAATGAGTCAATTTTATCTTGTTAGTTTGGTTTTCCGGTCAGTTTATTTGTATTATTATGTCAAACATTTAGCTAATCTCCCTGTCCGTGTCTGACCTATTTAACTTCGAAACTATCACGATCAAACCGGTCTGAAATGTACGAAAGTGTTATGCGATTGAAGATGAGTTTCATTTTGTGCTGGAATGTAAGCTTTTCAATATATTTCTAGATATTATAGGCAGAGACATAGTATGATGAAATTTATTGAACTAATAAAAAAAACGGGGAACACACAATTACTTCATAATAACCATTATAATTGTAAATGTCACTTAGAAAAAAATCAAGAGTTACTATAAACAGTGATTAAAATACAACACTCTCGTAAATATAACATGTATATTTACATGTACATTTATATAAGAATATTATTTCCATGCATTGTTTTTGTCTGTATACATTGTTTTTATATGTCTATATGCTGTACCATGCATACGACTAAAGAAACTTTCTGTTCTGTTCTGTTCTGTTAAGAAACATGCTGAATGGCGGTTTTACTAAAATTGAACTGAAGTTATATAATAAAATGCATGTAATATGCATTAGAATTCAGACGGATTTAACACCTGCAACATTTTATTCTGCTTAACTGAAAACGAATGTGCACATGATTGTTCCATTATTTAAATTAAGGACGATCTCAACAGCTGGAATGAAAACTTTTTTCATAGGATAAGGTAAAATGATCCATGATGATCTTTGAATATAATTACACAAATATTTTAGCGGTTCTCTTTTTCAAGCTATTGGTCCTTATTTTTCAAGGATCACAAAAATACAATGTAAAACATATGAATTCATGATATAACGTGTTTGAAGTTCTGTAAACCTGTTTTCTAATTAAATTTGCATAATGTAAATATAAAGAAAGATCTCTTACAGTTATTTTAGATTCAGACAATAATCAATTAGTAAATTTCTGCAATGTATGCCTTCTATAATAGTAGCGTCTAAGATATTTGTTTGCGGAAGTCATGTAATGAAAAAGTGAAACTCGTTTTCAATTTGCCTCGAAGGTCAATTATTGCATATTGTTTCATGTCTAGGTATGCATCTTTATCGTCCCTCTTCAATATAAGCAACTATGTATCTGCACTTAGCAGGAAAAAAACGCAAAAAAGCAAGAAACAAACAAAAAACTCCGGCTCCAACTTTTGTTTGACATGTTTTGTTTGCATGATTTTGATAAATCCTGTCCTTTCCATATTTCTTTATCAAAAACCATTAACCATTGAATTTGAAAAGTAAATAAACATGGGAACTTCATGAATGGCAAAAGTGTAAGTCAAACAAAAATTCACAAATTTACAAAAAAAAATGTAAATATATATTTCCAATAAGGCATAATTGCATATGTTGATTTATTTTTTAAGGCGGGAAAACTCAGTTTTATAAAAAAAAAAAAACCGGAAAATAATCATACACGTGTGTAACAATTTCGCTCTAGATTTGGAATCACCCCAGTCAAACGTGGTATTATTTATTGATCAATATTTCTTTTCAGAAGTCGGTGCAAAAATACAAAAACACTGTCTAGACTTGACATTGCCCTTGAAAGGCAGTTATTTTCTTTTTTTATATTCACATAGACTATCCATGAGTTTTGTATGTCTTTCCATTTTTGGCTGCTTTAATTTTGAGAATAACTTTCATTGTATATTAATTATGAAAGACTGTATGAGCCGCGTCATGACAAAATCAACGTAATGCGTTTGCGACCAGCATGGATCCAGACCAGCCTGCGCATCCGCGCAATCTGATCAGGATCCATGCTGTTCGCTTACAAACCCTATAACAAGTAGTTATCCCGGATGCGCAGGCTAGTCTGGATCCATGCTGGTCGCAAACCCACTATGTTGGTTTTGTCGTGACGCGGCTCGTATTTTGAACGTATCTATTATAAAGTTTTGCAAATCTCTTATGAATGTTAAAACAACTTGTAGTAATATGGCTATTTATGGAGAATTGGTGAGTTATTCATTGTATATAAATAGATATGTGCGTTTTATCAAATTCTAATATATTTGTTAGCAAAAAAAAAGTGTATGAATATTTTTGTAAATGTATAGTTAAAAGAAATAACGGGGCTTATCCAGTTAATTACCTGATAGATTGTTGTCTTTTTTTCATAATTATATTTGGAATAATCCATTCTATAAATAAGTTCCATTTGCTTTTTCAAAGAAGGGTCATAGATACAAAACTGGCACACACAGTTAAAGGGATGTTCAACCTGTTTTTTTTTTTAATTTTAGATCTATGATAGAGACATTCAGTTTTATTAGTTATATACCTTTAAGCGTATAGATACAAAAAAGAAAGAAAACACAATCTTTTTCATCTCTTATGTGAAGGTATCTAGTGAGTATAGCAAGATGGCAAAATATAAAATAGCTTATTAAGCAGTTATGTGTGAAAAGTTTGTATCAGTGCATTTTTCATCCAATTCTAGATCTAGCTCACTTGCGTGTGTTCACTTGCGTCTATAAAATATGCAGACACCAAAAATAGTCATGTTTTTTTATTTTGTGTCTCAGTCTGTATGTTTTATGTCTGTTTATGTCTGTTTCCACGTTCTTTTATTTATGTATGTATGTATGTATGTATGTATGTATGTATGTATGTATGTATGTATGTATGTATGTATGTATGTATGTATGTATGTATGTATGGATGGATGGATGGATGGATGGATGTATGTATGTATGTATGGATGGATGGATGGATGTATGGATGTATGGATGTATGTATGTATGTATGTATGTATGTATGTATGTATGTATGTATGTATGTATGTATGTATGTATGTATGTATGTATGTATGTATGTATGTATGTATGTATGTATGTATGTATGTATGTATGTATGTATGTATGTATGTATGTATGTATGTATGTATGTATGTATGTATGTATGTATGTATGTATGTATGTATGTATGTATGTATGTATGTATGTATGTATGTATGTATGTATGTATGTATGTATGTATGTATGTATGTATGTATGTATATGTATGTATGTATGTATGTATGTATGTATGTATGTATGTATGTATGTATGTATGTATGTATGTATGTATGTATGTATGTATGTATGTATGTATGTATGTATGTATGTATGTATGTATGTATGTATGTATGTATGTATGTATGTATGTATGTATGTATGTATGTATGTATGTATGTATGTATGTATGTATGTATGTATGTATGTATGTATGTATGTATGTATGTATGTATGTATGTATGTATGTATGTATGTATGTATGTATGTATGTATGTATGTATGTATGTATGTATGTATGTATGTATGTATGTATGTATGTATGTATGTATGTATGGATGGATGGATGGATGGATGGATGGATGGATGGATGGATGTATATATGTATGGATGTATGTATATATATACATTCGTTTCTTTTATTTGTTTCTGTATACGCATTCGTGTATGTCTGTTTACACGTTCCTTTATGTATGTATGTGTGTATGTATGTATGGATGTATGGATGCATGCATGTATGTATGTTTGTTTATTTGCACGTTTGTTTATGTCTGTGTGTATGTCTGTTTCAACATTCGTTTCTTTTATTTTGTTCTGTATACGCATTTGTGTATGTCTGTATGTCTGTTTACACGTTCGTTTGTCCCTAACGTTCTTTATTTTACAGACTTATTATTCCTGATTTCAGATGCCTTGTCATGTTACCAGTGTAATATATTTATTCGCGGCTCCCCGTGGCCATGTGAATCAGAACGGGGAATGAAGGAAGTGTCGGGCTGTTATGCTTGTCTGAAAACTTTCACTCGAACATATCTCCATAACACTTTCCACGACGAATTATGTAAGTATTCATTCATATAATACAACTTCTTATAGGCATCTCTTTTTATTTCTTCATGATTTCAATGTCGTGACAAAGAATAAAACTGACTGGCTGTAGTAACATCTAAACTGTTAATGTCATATTCCCCAGCGTTCATTATTGGCGGGAGAGCCAAGTTCGGCACTTGAGAAGAATCACACGAATTCCGTAGGTAATTTGAATAACTGTCTGCCATGAAACAACCCAACGTCTCTGGTCAGATTCGAATCCACCATAGTTTCAAGGCATTCACTTGAATGCTTAAGGACTTTAGTCAATTGTTAACTTTATGTATGGACAATTTCACTATATATAGAAGATATCAGAAACCCTATAGAAATCTGATGTCAAGATCATTGAAACTTCACGAATGAATATAAAAATATAGAAATACATGTATATTCATTCTTTACAAGTTCTATAAAAACGATCTAAAATGTATTCATGGTTTTAATTAGATGTTAAAAATGTGCACAATAGCACCCTCTTCATAAGTTTTTTATTATTAATTTTGCTTTCCTGTCCGAATCAATGTGTCTATTGAATATCATGCTACAAGTACTAAAAAAATTATTAAAGGGACTCCACTGAGGTTTAAAAGCCTAAAAACATAACATTTGAATTTCTTACATAAATGAGCTGGGACACTTTAAACAAAATATATGCAGTGATAGTTAAGAAATATACTTTGAAAGAAAGTGAAAATCGTATTTTTATGATTTTCTTAGCCCGATTTTAGTGAAAAACGTTTAAACGCTTTTCATTTTGGGTCATTTTTTTTACAATTTAAATAATTATTCTGGACAAACGAAGTGCTCGAATGATCTGAAATTTTAGACAAAGATAAGTGGTCTAAACCTACATCAAATGGTACATTTATTTGGAAAAAATATTTTCAGTCCCATCATGTCAAAAAACCTCAGTGGAGTCCCTTTAATATCAAATATTATGCCGGAATAGTAGCAAAAATTCAAGAGTGAGTCCATAAAGTTTACAGCTTACTAAACTTATCGAACTGTAATAACTTCAGTACAAACTAAAAGTACCGTTTGAATTATATCTTTCACACCACGTCATTCTTTTCAATGCATAAGAACTTCTTTCATTAGGCTATTTAAAAAAACCCTAATGCGCTTTTAGTGCATTAAGGGTAAATTTAAAATTATGTCAGAATTTTTTTATCGAAAAATGCGGATGTCACGTGATGTAAATGATAAAATGTATCAGACATATATGAACATGAACAGAATATATACTTTAGAAATTATAGAAATGAGTCAACATGACTCTTATTCTTTATAATTAAGCATGTATGGTCAAAATACATGCAATATACAAATCATCGTCTATTGATATGTTAATATTGCATAAATATAGTATATATATGAGTACATTTGTAGTTACATATAATTTGCATTTTTCATTATATTAAGCTTAATATACATATGTATGTAATATTATTGAATTACGCTCATCTGTTGTTGTATCCTATATATTAAACTAGGGTGAGCTTGAGGCGCTTCAATCAAATTTCAAATATTCATGCGCACGTTCCGGATGATAAATCAAGCGGTGAATTATGGGTAATGCATACAGCTATCTAGTTGGCCATTTAAATTAAATCAATCTACTGACTTGCCTGAATAAATTTACGATATTTGTAAGAAAATAAGACAAATTGTCTTAAACAAAATTGTCTTAAATAGACCATTACTTTGAGTTAACCTCGACTGATAAAGTCGCAAGTGTTTAAAGGTTTTGAAAAAACGTTATTTAATTGTTATCACTTTCGTTTTTGTTGCATAGTTCATGTTTCCATGGTTCCCAGTCTTTGTACGAAATTTTCGCGCTCATTTAGCAGTGAAAAATAATCTCATACGCTTGCATTTTTATTGCAGAAAGTTGTTCTATATTTGAAACAGATATTACGTTAAAGTTCGACATTATAACGAAACTAATGTGATCATTAACTTGTTAACTAGTCGTAACATCTGAATAATGTTCGCATCAGATTATTTTGCAGAACAGAACACAAGGGGGAGAATCACGCCGTTCGTTACCCAAACAAACAAGATGGCGGATGCAGCCAAAAAGTAGGTTTTTCCCTTTTTTCTCTGAAATTCGTGATGTTCTAATGTAAAGGTACATATAACAACCTTCTACACATTTTTCCTGGCACACAGGATGTTATTTCATGATGTTTCGTCCCGTACTTCATCTGAAATGCGCGTCACCAGATTCGAAGCGAGAGAATTTTCCACCGGTTTGATCGTGGTAACGTACGGCTTTTTCTCTCAAATTCACTGTTTCTTTTACATATATGTATATTAACTGAAACCACTGACTTAAAAAAGTTGTAATATGTTGTCAAGTAAGCAATCATGCCAATTCTGGCTAGATTTACTGCTGTAAATATTAATATCGGGGCATTTTCCGGAAATGATAACGTATGGCGCACAAAATATCAATGATAACGTACGGCGCATTTTACTACTTGGTGGATTTCCATTTGTCCAATCAGCTGATAATGAATTATTTTTATGTAGGAAATGATAGATATCTGAAAAAAATGTTGGTCCGGTCAGAAATAATTAATTGAACAATGCTGTACTATCGGAAATAGCTGGAAAAATCTTTCTAGCTGGTGGCATAATATATATTCGTTGTTAATATACCAATTAAAACACACGTGTATAGTTTGAGAATATTTTGTATAAAATGCAGAATGGGAAGAAAAGTCTCAACTTTAAGGAAATATTTGTGTGTTGTTGTCTTTACATTAAATTTCGCCAGTATTGTGCGATAATTATGGTCTTATCCCATAATTGGAAAGAAGAAACGCATTCAGCAGAGCAAAAATGTTAAAAAGGTACGGACGGCTTGATATATTTTCTTTTCCAAAGAAAAAGTCTAAAATCATTCCTAACAAATTTCTGATAAGGAAATCTTAATATTTGAACCCCTCAACATTTACAAAACGAAAATTGATTGCGGCTAGCTTACACCCAGATGAGATGAGCCTGTGTTTATTCAATATGGTCGCTCATTGAAAGAAAAATACATAACAGAGAAAAATGAATGAATGTAGGTTCTATAATGAGTTTATTGAATGAGTTAGAAAATAATGTTATGCGAAAAACTTAATTGAATTTAGTTAATAAAAAGAATTCTGTTTATTAGACGGGCGGTTAATATTGAAAGTTTGAAACGCTACCATTTAGCGTGACGTTGTGAGATATAATTACGCGACATAGCCTCAGAGTTTTTTTTATAATAGTAGACAGTAGACATTTTATTTTATTCCATTTGGCTTTAAAGCCAATGAGGACATAAAACATGCATAATAACGAACAGTTCATATAAACATGTAACCCTTTCCATTATGAGCATATTGTGAAAAATGGCCGTTTTTTATTGAAAAGCCTCCTGTTACAAGTTCAAACTGCTATGAAACTTTGAAAAATGTTTCAATACTAATCAAACTTGGCAGGACCATTGCCTTTGTAGCGACATGCTCAGTCTAAAATTCCCTGTTACCATGGCAACATGGGGACATCTCAAAATTGCCATTAATCACTATTTTGCCTTGAGTTTTTTCCTCAAAATTTTTTTCAAAGTGCTGCAACTTCTCAAGGGATTGAGATAGAGTCAAAGGCTTTTCAGCGTTGGTTACACGTTACCTTATGATCGACCGGGGGTCATTTTTAGCCTCTCGCAAGTCAAAAATTTTCTTGGCGATGAGGGGACTACCGCCCCTCTTCAAACCCCCCAAACAGAAGGGGGCACATCCCCCTTCTGGCAACCCCCTGATATATCTTTTGGATGGGGGCGGCGCCGATAAAGGCTCACTTTTTTTAGCAAACGTTTCTCAAACGAAAACATGTGTTGGGGTCCAAAAGGACATTTTTTCACTGAGGCCTAAAAAGGGGGTCGAAGTGTGTGTTGTTTCGCGTATATATGAGGTTAAAGGGGTAAATACCAGCCGAAATTTTCTGAAGGAGTAATATTATGAATATTTTCAAAATTGATCTTTAAACCAGTAACTTATAGGTCTCTTGTATTTACATATACATACACACGTATACATGTACATACATACAAAAAGCATACATTACATGAGCTATTAATGCAAAATATTTGTAAATAAATCGATTTTTAACACAGAAACGCAATTAACCGTTGTTTATACATATATCCTAAAAAATGAAGGTACCTTCGCATCAATTGCGGATTTCATAATTGTAAATAAAAGGAACGTCATAAGTTGATCAAAACAATTACATGCAAGAATTTGCCTATCATATTCTGGCGTTTTTTCCACAAACGCCCCAATAAAAACAATAATTTCTTTAAAAAAAAGTATTGCAGGTATCAGCAATAAAAGAGTGACATTGGAATTTGCTTATTTATTTCTAGTGTTAATTATGAAGTTTCAAATCGTATTTGGATTTCGATGTTTTTTATCTATGCCGGGAACCCGTCTGAAACCTTTAATGCCAGACCGCTCATGTGCTTAAATGACGTCATTATCTTTATGGAAGAACGATTTTAAAAATTATTACGCTACTCTTAAACTATTGTTAACGAAGTATATGTAAGTGTTCATCCGTGTTGTTCTATTTCGACGGGGCGATAGCGACCGGAGAATATTTCTTATTTCTGTAGAACAGCTACGGATGAATACAAACCTACTTAGTGTCAAGCTTTATTTGGCTTCATTAGTATTAACTTTATTTCATCACTATACCTGTCCATTTGCCACAAACGCGGTTCTATGAAAGTACTATGAAAAATAAAAAGGCTGATATGAACGGACTTTGATATATCATCGACTTTTGTTCTTCTATTCTATGAAAATTTACACAATTTTTTTCTAAGAAATACAACGCTTTCATTGGATGACAAATAAAGCTGGACACTAATATTATCTATTTCAGTTTCTTAATTTGGTTCTACACATCCACTTATGTCTTGTAAACATAACTTTTCTACTATAAAGAAAATCAATTAATCAGAAAAAAATGCGCCGTACGTTATCATTGATATTTTGTGCGCCATACGTTATCATTTCCGGAAAATGCCCCGATATTAATATTTACAGCAGTAAATCTAGCCAGAATTGGTATGATTGCTTACTTGACAACATATAACAACTTTTTAAAGTCAGCGGTTTCAGTTAATATACATACATGTATAAAAACAGTGAGTTTGAGAGAAAAAGCCGTACGTTACCACGATCAAACCGGTGGAAAATTCTCTCGCTTCGAATCTGGTGACGCGCATTTCAGATGAAGTACGGGACGAAACATCATGAAATAACATCCTGTGTGCCAGGAAAATTGTGTAGAAGGTTGTTATATGTCCTTTAACATCAGAACATCACTAATTTCAGAGAAAAAAGGGAAAAACCTCCTTTTTGGCTGCATCCGCCATCTTGTTTGTTTGGGTAACGAACGGCGTGATTCTCCCCCTTGGAACAGGACAGAACAAATTTGTATACATGAACTTCTTAAATAGATTAATAACTCAAAAAGGAGACAATTCACGGATTCGGTAAATTGACGCTAAGCTAAATTAAAAGATATCACAGGACACATAATGTACATATAACCTGTTTTGTTTTTCATCATAATAGTATTTTTTTTCAAATGGTCAAACTTGAGATGCAAATGCTATGCTGAATGTTAATAAACTTAATTATTACGAAAACCGCTTGGGTAGCTGAGAAGTAAGAGCGGTTAGAGATGTTGGAAGTCCAAAGTCAAAGTCTTTGTTGCGGCGGGGAAATTATAGTCAAATTGCGCTCAGCTCAATAAAAAAAGACAAAAACATCGTGAAAATAGCAAATTTATTATCATTTTAAAATAAAACAAATTTTTATATTTATCAAGGCAACACAGAATTAAAGCCAATCATACTGGTTGGAACTGGAAAAGATTAAAATTGACCTGTAGAAACATTTGTTTCCCATGTTTGTACAAAATAAATAAACTAGTCTCTCTCTGATAAGATAAAACACAGAAAAGTACTTTATCAATAAAGTGTTTGAAGATTTTACCAAGCTTATAAACATTTAACATTTTAGTTGGATGACTTAAATATAGAACGCTAATCTTAGATGATGAAATTTTTGAAACAGGCATGTATCTCCTCGAATTCAAGGTCTTCAGCTGAAAATTGTTATCTTTATATGCAAGTTCAACATTTCGGTCCCATGACGTGACGAGTCCGAATTGTCGTCCGTTTATTTGTTATCGTTCAAAATTCATGTATGAAGATGATAACAAAATATTTAATGAATTTCGAGATGATAAAATGAAAAAAATATATACATGTACCTAAATTTTCAAACCTATTCATTTCGAGTGTGATTGAACGTTACGTTATGCTACATATAAAAATGCTATAATTAAAAAAATGAAATGAAAAATGATCTACTTTGAAAAAAAAAACATCTTGTAAACGCTTGATAAATACTAAGAATTTAGCATGGGCAAGCATTTGTTTCCAAAATGTTTCTTTTTGTAATACATTTTAAAATTCCGTGCTAACGGATATAGTAAGATATGTGTGTCACAGTTGTATGGAATATAATATCTATACAGAAATGTTCAAATTTAATAATCTGGTCATACACTTTGGTAATATTAAAAAGTAATCAAAGACCCTGAAAATAAAATACAAATTAGGACAAGATCTGGAAAAATATGCCGTATGGGTGGTCCTGTGATTTGTATTGTAGACAAAGAAATGGGTTTCATCAGCTTATTTCACTATTTGTACAGTCTAGCATTATAAAGTTTATCATTTTTATGACTTTATACTGACTGGTTATTTTATATTTTTCAGATACCAAATACGAGTCTAGACTTTGTGTTAAATCCAGAGACTATATAAAGGAAGAAGGGTGCCATCCACACGAGACTAGTTCTGGATACATGAAACGGTGTTTCTGTTACAGTGACTTTTGTAATTCATCCACACGCGTTCATATAACCATGACATTAAGTGGTATGTGCCTGAGTCTTGCCTTGTTTTTGAAAAGAATGATGTAGCTGTTTAAGAAAAAGGAATTCCAAATATATTCAATGCCGCCTTCAATAAAATTTAATGGAATTTACGCCAATATCTAAATGACTTTTTTGTTGGAATTCAATGGAATTATTGAATATTGAATGAATAAGACAAAAAAAGATTATTTTGAACAACTACTACCCAAAACCCTATCAATTTCCTCATTTCCATTTTACAACCATTTTTAAATTTTTTTTCAGATAAAAGCCGACAACCCATTTTAATTGGAAAAACAATAAAGTGTTACCCCCCCTTAAAAAGAAAAATTGCTTTTTTGGTATAAAAATAAAATACTGCATTAAAGCAGGTGGGCCAATGTGTACAGTCGTCCCCAGAAATAGAAATTTCTAAAATCAAAACGTGTTTGGTCGGATTTATGTTTTAACTAAAGTTTCGTGTGCATCAAACTTGGATTAGAATTGTTTCTTTAAAGGCAGTTGTAATACAACATATATATGGAAATTTACAAATAGCTTTTCGAAAATATTTGGAGTTGTTAAAAACGGGAAAGTTGCTTAACATTGCACTCATGCAAGGACTACAAAGACAAATGTCAACCTGACAGGGAAAACAAATGACTTGTATTGACGTTTTTATGCATTAGTCCATATCTATATATTATTTAGATTTTTCAAAATGGGATGTATAATACGTAGTTGATCTTTCTTTTTTCGTATTTCAAAAGAAAAGTTAAAGGTCCCCGCCACTAGATAAGTAAACAAAAATCATCAATTTAATAAATTTCATATATAGAATAGAAGGTTTTGAATAGAATAGAATGAAATTTATTTCCAATCATGGACCATTACAGGCACATAATCACATACTAGTAATAATGATATTGTGCAAGATGTATGAAACTTCGCACATTTTATAAATGCGAAACATGACTGTGGCGTATTTTGATTGTTTTCATATATATCCTACGTACTCCACCATATATCTACCCTTCATGATATAATTATATTTCCCAGTTTAACGGGTTCTAGTTATTTTTTTTTATATATTTTGACACATTGAACTTTAATTTTCTGGCGATAATAAATGCATTCGGCTCGCTTTAAGCAAATTATTGCGACATTTGACTTAACATTTACTATTTTAAAAGATTTCATAAAACAGAACCTGAATCAGGTGACGTGCTGCTTTAATATAATAACCTCTAACCGATGATAGAGCTTGAATATTTTACTTTGTAAAAAATCGTCAGTTTTGTGCAATGAAAAAAAAATTCAACTATTTACAGCTTTTCCTTATTTTAAAGCTACTCTTTCAAGATTTGAAGCCAATTCACCTTAATTGTCGTCTAATTAAAATTGATTAATTTAAAAGAATAAAAAATATATGCATGAATTACTGAGAAATTTTGAACTGGCCATTTGTTTTCCATAGAATCAAGGAAGTTTTCTTTCGAGCAATAATAATTTAATTTATCTGTAGAGAATAAGGGCTATTCGTTTGTATTACTAATATGTTTTGTTTTGCGAAGATTTGAAGTATTGTCGCTTAAAATAATCACATAAATTAGAAAGAGTAGCTTTAATTCTGTCATCATGGATAATTATTTTGTTTACCATGAATATATCATATAAATTTAACTCCTTTTACAATTTATTCCATGAATAATTTCGTACATATCATTTTTTTTTATTTTGTAATATAGCAATATGTGTACATTATATACAATAAAATTTACGCTGAACATATATCTTTTGATAATTATTTTTATCTATATTTGTCGGATGAAAGTAATCAAAGAGCTTAAGACACTTCTTGTAAGGTGCTGGTAGACCCATTAAACCTCAAATTTGCTTTTTTTTCAAGGGCTTTTTAAAGGCGCATTTATTATGCCTAAGAAACGAATAGTTTGTATTTCTTTAGAAAGAGCAAACATACATTTATAACGTTATAAAAACAATTTTAGAGCATGTAAGATGCATGTAAGATAGTTCATGTTATTGGTTAACATGTATATTAAAACATGTCCTGTTACGTGCAGTTTCCAAAGAGAGACACATATTGGGCCATATAGCTTATCTATTATTAGCTTCTGTTGCATCTCAGCATTATAATTATACAAATACAGAGATAAAAAAATGTTTATATTTTTGCTATCTTTGTCACAAATATTTTACATTTATCACAGTTGATAAGCATAGCATGAGTTCTTAAACCATCATGATAATGTCCAATAAAAAAGTCACTTTTGTATTTCTACAGAAAGAAAAGAAAACAGTCAATCATTTCTGATAATGTGACTTTAAGCTACATTCCTAAAAATGCAAGATATGCTTGGTGTCCTAGATTTAAATACTGCAGATTACATTTATTTTATTAACATAGATCTAATTAAATAGCTACGAAACGGATTCGTCTTTCAGCAAACGAATATATATATACATGTGTAGTTTAGTGATAAGTTATGTTTAATTGTTTTAATCTTCATTTATTGATATAAAGAAAAGTCGTCTAATTTTTCTAAACAGGAGCCTTTTAATTATTAAGACACATTAATTAACACGATACGGGCCTCATGTAAAACCGGAAGTGCAGTCTCAATTGTCACCCTTTGAACTAAAAGTGTTAAAGGACAGTAGAGGGCGCTGTCATTTCCGTAAATTTATAAAATTTTATAGTAATTTGAAGTAAAATGATGATGAAGACGATTTTAACGGTTGTGATATGTTTAACACTTTGTCATACAGGTATATATAGTTTCTAACTTTACAAGTTCATACTTTTACGACCGATTTTGCCTTTGTTATTGTTTTAGTTCACACCTGTATAGTGTCCAGGTGCAATTTTTACAGGTGAGTCATTTTCAAATGTTTTGCTCAGAAATTTGATGTTTTCGTTAACGTTCTTCCTTGAAAACAACGTTTTATTATGTTTTAATGGTTGGCACTGGTTTAACACGTTATTTTTGTTATATATTATGTGTTTGAATACATATATTTCCCTCTTAAGTGCAGGTAAAATCTGGTTAAAACAGGTAGAGCAAAACATCAAAAGTGATTTAGCAAAATTGATTTACAAGTAATATGTGTATGTCAGGAAAATTTGTTGTTATTTGTATATTTATATATTAATTTTAAATATGTTGAGGTAGACCAATGTTCCGTGTAAAATCATAACAAATGTTAAGTCATAATATTTGGCATGCTAAAGCTAAATTCTGAACTATTTTTGTTCCAGCCAGGGAAGATATTGACCTTAACTAAAAATAGTACAGTATCTTGATATGTGGTGCAATTAATTGGACTAAACAAATGATTTAAGAGTAATCTTTGCGCTTTTTCACGAATTCGAAAACCTAGCTAAACGCCGTTTTCCGGTACTTTCTGTACATAGCTCTGGGGAATTCGCCTAATGGAGTGTAATAGCGAACTCGATGTTTTCGGCCTTTTTTAAATTAAATTGAAATAAAACAGTTATTTCTTTATAAGAAAAAATTTAAATATCATCGTATGAATAATTCCATACAAAAAATAAAGTAAATACACAAGTTTACGCAGAAAATAACCTTATTTATCACGAAAGATTCCACTACGTCTGTTTAAATTTTATTGATTTTCATTATAAACAATTTATTTTTTTGAAAAATTTGCTATAGATATTGAAGGAATATTAATCATTTTCAAAGACATCAGTTATTTTCACCTGAAACGGTAAAATAATGATAGAAAAATAGAAATATCATGTATCTGTGTTATGTACTTCATTTGGTGTAATTCCCCAGAGCCAAATCCGTAACGTACCGGAAAACGGTTTTTAGCTAGGTTTTCGAAAAGGTCAATTCCTGGAGATGTTACAAACATTAAGAATTTAAGTACTAAGGTTTTCATTGATCATGATGGGAAATTTTGTATCAATATATTGAGCCAGCTAGCTTATGGAATGTCCGTGGTTCTACTTAGGTATTTCGTACCTGAAATAATGCACAGAAGGACAAGTGAGGTCTTACTCCACCAGTTAAGTTGGAACGTCGCCATATATGACCTATACTGTGACGTAAAACCAAATTCAATCAAACAAACAATATAACGAGGGCCAAAAAATAAATAATATGTGTAATTAAATAGCTACTGGTCGGGGACCATCAACTGGACACGTTTTGAACATTTTTCCGTACAGATTTTAAAATTTTAAACCTAGAGATATTAAAATTTGACACAGTTCAGCTAGGTTCTTCTCCTTACTAACAAACTAGTTTGTTTATTTCTGATTGTATTGACACTTATATCTGAGGCTTGACAAGGAGGGTATCAAAATTACATAAATTGTCTACACTACAATACCATGTGTCCGGACAGATATGTACATGACCAGATTTATTTCAGAAAAAAGCTTGCCAGGGTGTTTTTATTTTTGATTTTTAACATGATGTAAAAGTGACTGACAACCATTGAACAAAGAAAATACTAAATTAGGCATTTTCGGGGCCATCCAGGTTTGGTGGTTGTCCGGTTTTGGTGGTCCCCAACCAGTACTGCAATGGAAACTATTAAAACATTATAAATAAACATGTGTATTAAACTGTTGTCAATGTATTAAACAAGATCATTGCAGTCATCATAAATACAACATTATATAGCAAAAACTAAAATAATGTATATTTTTCTTGTTATTACTTTTCTCACTTACCTATAAAAGTTAAATTCAAGATTCAAGCTAGCCAATAAACATTGAAAGAAAAGACTTCTCTTCCAGACAAAATAAAAAGATTATTTGCACAAAGCAGAGAAAAATAGCTTGATTTTAAATTGTATCAATATTTTAAAATTTGAATCAATATTGAATTGGCTGTTTCATTCAATAATATATTAGTATTCATTGACACCCCTGAACTTAGTTCCAACAAATTGTACTGCACATTTAGATATTGTGCATTTTTGTGTATAAGCAATATCTGACCCAGAACAAAAATATCTCAGATTCAACTAGCTTTTGTATGTCAAAATAGTTTGACTAACCCCTTAAAACATGACGTTTTATAGTGTTTAGGAAAGACGCGTATCATAGCATATCTTCAAACTTAAGTTTCAACCAAAATGGCATCAGTTCTCAGATTCTTCTTTTAACTTTCAAATTTAAGGCTGTTATGATACAGGCTTGATAATTGTATATATATTTTTTTCTACAGTGCTGTGTATAGATTGTCACCAGTGTGCATCGAAAGATGACGGCTCTATTCCCCCGTTTTGTACTGACCCGTATGATGGTGACGAAATGGCAGACAATATTGATGGTTGTGACGATAAGGACACCCATTGTTTAAAGAGCAAAGCTGTCAGCTATCTGAATGATGCTGGGTTTATTCTTGGGGCCCCAAGAGGTAATATTGCTTTTCTTGTAAAGATTTCTGTTGACAAATGCAGGGAACATTCTGAGATCGAGGTAACATGTTGTCATTAAAGAAATTCTCGAGGGACCCCATCAAGTTGCACTTTTTCAAAGCTGTAAAGGTTCTACATAGCTGCAGAGATTAATCATTTATTAGAATGTTCATTTTATTCCTAAATTTTTGTAGAGACAACATGTTAAACATCTCCTGTTCGCTAAATAGTAATATTGCCAGGTTTTTTATGCTAATTTGTGAGAGATCATTTCAAAACTTTAGATTTGTGACAATCATCCTGGTGAAGGTGGTCACTTGTGTCAGTATTTTGCACCTACATGTTATTTTGATAAACCATGGTGTATGCCAGGAAAGCAAGTAGTTTTTCTGACAATGTACCTCAATCCAGATGTGGTTCTTGTATCTTTGAATTGTAAAAATAAATAAATGAAACAAAAATAAAAACTGTAAACAATACAAAGTAAATTATACCAAAGTCCAAAAGTATGCTATTTGAAACTCATTGAACTCTTTTAGCAAGGAAGTACTGGAGGCAGCCTTAAGAATTTAATGGCCATCTTACTACAATAACAGTAATTATTTAATATTGAAGAAATACAATTAAAGACTTGAACGATGCTAACTATGGTATTTTATGTGTTAATATGTAAGTTATTAAAGTAACTCAGATTGATTTTAAACTTTGTTTTCAGAATCGGTGGCTGTAACCAGGGGCTGCATCAGAGCTGATGGAGAAGGTAAATTTTCTTGTTGGGTTTTTTTTTTTTTGGTGATTTGGAATTTGATAAACAAGTTTTCTTAGTCATTTATAGAATATTAATTTAACTGCAAGAGTAACAATTTAAGTGATATCATAACTGTGTTAGACAAGTGATAAAGTGTATGAGCTGAATAAGAAGTCTTGCAGTAGTATAAGTCAAAGACCCAAAACAGTGTTTCTAGTAGTTAACTGTTAAAGACTTAGTAATGGAAGAGTTTTTCAACTTGATTGGAAGACTTTTTAAGTGGTTATCAGTTGTCCAAGACTGAATTTGAAGAGTTACAGAAGTTGGCTGAATACTTATTCGGAAGAGTCAAAACTTTTTATAGTTGTGCAAAGTCTTTCTGATGAATGGGTTTTATAAATGGGTGAAGCACACATATATCTGTGATGATTTGGTTTAAAACAATGCAAGACTGATTTCAAATGATTTAATCACGGAAGTTTTCAGACTGATATGCTTGTGAGAAAATAATTATTATTTGCACGAGACAGAATATATAAACACTTGTGTAGTCAATACACACAAGGCACCAGAATGCAAAATAGTACATTTATTGAGATATATTATTCCAGTGTTTGGCATGAGACTTTGACTTTGTATGTATTACTTAACACATAGGTGTCAGTGACTAGCAATGTCATCTCGACGATATTTTGTTTCGATGTAACATTTCTTAATTTCCAATTGGTTCATCTAGTTTCAATGGATGTGAATGCAATCCAATGTTGAAAATTTGAAAGTACAATAAAATTTGGAAAAGATAGCCTTGTTTACATGTATAAAAAGGACATATGCCTATATGTGTAATAAGCAAGACGTACAGTAACTACCGGTTAGCTCGGGAAATTGAACTAGCAGAGCAAGAATGTAAAAGATATTTTATTTCGCTGTTTTCATGGAGAATTAGAGTTTCGAGTAGCTGTACAGATTATATTTTCAAATTATATTTTTGGAAGGCTTGTTCATGGACATATTTTCTGTTTTACCTTTTACAGGAGATTATTGCAAATACATTGAGGCAGATGCAGGATTCTTTTTCTGGTGCATTTGTTCAGAAGATGGCTGTAATGGGGCTGGCGATGTAATATCTAGTATGACCTTGACACTTGTGCTCGCTATTTCCAGTATTGTGATACGCAGACTGTTGTGATTTAGTATGTGATTGATTGAGGAAATATTTCTTACAGAGTTACTCAGTGTTGTTAATGTTATACATATCAAGCAGAACACATTTATATTTTTATTTGTTAAGTGTATCTTAGACTGAGATCTAAAGCTATTTTTACTGATATTTTCTGAATGTTGTAAAAGAAAGACATTCCATATTTGCAATAAAGATTTTTCATCTTTTGCTCATGTATCATATTCATCAATTTATATAGAAAGAGAAAATCAATTATTGTGAAGTGAAATAGGGATGCAAAAAGTTTCATTATATATTTTTTTTAAAATTTCAAACAAGCATTCATTTTAAAGTAAAAAAGTTGTAGTTTTAGTGCAAATTTAAATATGATAGTTTGAACTAATCCATTACTCTCTTGAACTGAATGTGATTAGCCAGTACCACCAGTATAGAGCCAGGTCAGCCTGTACATCAATGTAGTCTGACCAGTGGCTCTATACTGTTGTTACCTTAAGTTTTGCATTTTGATGTTGAAATCCCTAAAGAATGAATGGACTGTTCCAAATTTAAAAAAAAGGCAAGTTCATTATATGAATTCAGCGGGTTAATGGTTTTATAATGAACAACTATATTATTATTATACAAGTTATACAGAAATGTGAAATACATTATTTTTGAATTTTATTGAAAAGATTTTGTAATGTTTTATCTGTTATCACACAAATGATTAGTTATCACTCATAATTCTAAGTTGGTCTTTACATATATATGTCTGATTTGTATTCTGAAATTATGGAACAAGATATTAATGAGGCATAGCACTGTTGATAAGGTTTTCATGTACCAGACTCTTTTGAGAATTGTATAGATCTGTTATATTAAAGTGAAATTATGTTCATTGTTTCATTGTCAAGTTGAGTTGAATTAATTATATGCTGTAAGTGCTTCCATGAAACTGTCTTATACAGACTTTAAATGTAAAGTTCAATGTGTGTTTTCCCCCCTCAGAATGAGGCTATTCTCATAGCATTTAGGAACAAATGGTTTATTTTATGATGAGGCACAAATACTGATAATATTTGTTAAAATTCCATCAAATTACTAGAAATTATTCTAGAACTGGTCTTTTTGTTGGCTTACGTTCACTCAGATTTTAAGAAATTCACGTTTATTGTTCATCACCAACCATAATTATCATTATCACCAACCATAATTATCATTATCACCAACCATAATTATCATTATCATCAACCATAATTATCATTATCATCAACCATAATTATCATCATCACCAACCATAATTATCATCATCACCAATCATAATTATCATCATCATCAACCATAATTATCATCATCATCAACCATAATTATCATCATCACCAACCATAATTATCATCATCACCAATCATAATTATCATCATCATCAACCATAATTATCATCATCATCAACCATAATTATCATCATCACCTACCATAATTATCATCATCATCAACCATAATTATCATCATCACCAACCATAATTATCATCATCATCAACCATAATTATCATCAGCAACTGCACTTTTATGATAATTACCTCATCTTGGTTTACCAATTGCATGCATAATTATCATCATAATTATTGTCATCAACTGCTTAATCATGACACCAATATTTTCATCATCATCATGACAACAAATTCAATGGCAATAATTTTGTGTTGTTTTCATATTGTGTTTCCTTACGTTTGCTGACTTGACAATATGTTTGATGCAATATAGTTCTTTTAGTTTCAATCAACACCATTGTAGGATTTTTATTTAGTCCACATCTTAAACAAAACAATTTAACAACTTTAATTTTCTTCACTAAAAAAAATTGTTTTATTTGTTTTTCCTTTTTTTCATTTGGAGGATTTTGTAGTTCGGCTCTGGACAAAAAAAGAAACATTTGGAGTTCAATTTTATAACTTTAGATACACAAATATATTGAGGATGACATTTAAATTGGAATGTTTTTTATAAGATAGGGAGTAGGGCTTTTTAAGTCTTCATATTTTGTATCATCATATACATGCCTGACTGTAGATATTTTCTTCTGACAATAAATACATATCTCAACCTTTTGTAAATACTTGTACACATATTTGTATATTTTTAGGAATAGATTTTTTTAAACTTTTTTTTTTCATTAATTCTGTATATATGGATTTTGATATACCTATATAAATCTACTCGTAGGTTGAATTATGCACATAAATTTATGATTGAAAGTGTATTTTCAGAACATTTCTGTTAGAATTTTATATATTTGTAAAGAAGAAATTTATGCCTTATACAGCTGCAATAAATATTATATTAATAGTAAATACCTTTGTTATTATTTAGCAATAGAATAAAAAATAGTATGTATTTTGCCAGAAAGGTTATTTTTTTAATTTTGGTGAAAAACATGAGTATAAACAGATGCATGCTACACAAATCTAGGCCTAAAACACAATTGTTTTGTTAGGGTCACCTATGGATGTTATCTAGGTCTCTGGGTCACCCTACCCTACCTAACAATAAGCCCGACCCTACCATTTTAAGGTACATTTGAAGACAAGACTTAGAAATGATGTTCTTGTGCCATCTGGGAGACATTATCGGAGCTTTCAATGTCGATATCTAACAAGGGCTCATGGACGATTCTGAATGACATAAAGAGTAACATACCAAAAAAACTGGCTAATTTAAATGCAAGTGGCTATTTCAAGCCTTGTTTAAAGGGAGCCTGGCCTCTTACTGAGCTTCCTGTCTTAAAAAAACTTGTCAGTCGGATCGAACACTGCATGCCTTAAATGCCCATTATGCCCCAGGAATGTTATTTTTTTCAAAAACATTTTATTTATGGTATACATTTTGCTACTTTTATGACAAAAGATTTCATAAGTAGCACTAATTTCCTCGGGTAACAAGCAAGTAACATTCTCTGGTTTCGTTATTAAAGCGTTGTAAAATTCATGTTAGCCATTTCTTAAGAAATAAAAAGTAATTAATATCTAAGTTACTGTATAGACATAATTTGATTTTACCCCCTGCAGAGCTTTTCAAAAAGTTTGAATTCATACGTCTATAAGAACATGGAGTTGTATGTATTAAAAGTCTCTGATAAGAAGACACTATATTGTCAACATTACTATAATTTCTTGCCATCACTTCTTTCAGTAATGACATATTTAACATTGATCAAAATTGACATATTTTAGCCATTCACCTTAACAACAAAGGTTTTGTGCAAAATATTCTAAATCTGTTGATTTTTACGTCAAATAAAACAACATTTTACACATCTCTGCAAAGAAAGCCACAGGAGTCCGTTAAAATGTGTGCATACGTCTGAAACAGTCATTATTTTCTGCAAGTTTTTGTTTGTTGAAAAAGCTACTTTTGAGTTTCAAAGTAAATACAGTTTAATATTTAAAATTGAGCAATATAATATTTAGTAATTTGAACTGAAACATGAAATGACTAGAGTGTTAACACCATTTACCGCAATTTAAATGATGATATACAGTTTTCCAAATGGCCGAATTAGGGTCTACGCCTGGCCCATATTCTGATGTTGTTGTTTCCTTGTGTCATACAGGAGAAAATACCTAAATGTTACAGCTTATGAACATTTTGTTCAATGCCGTAAGTTCATTGTTTGTTTTCCTTCTTGTTTCAAAGCGTTATAAGTACGGTGAACTAAGATGAGCACAGTACCTATATATACTATTACCATACCATGCATACATCCCGAGTTAGTGCTGTCGATGATACCTGTGTTATTGTTCTTGTTTTAAGTAAAAGATAGAAATAAAATAAAAATATAAATGAAATTGACTTAAAAGCAAACTCGTTTACAGAAATCCGACTTTACTTCTATTATATATAAGCACGATTTTTCCTGAATTTTCACGGATCAAGGTCAGATAGAAAAGATTGTGTGGTTGTCTATATCATATCGTTTTCTATCCTTATGGTAAACATATTTGCCAAGTATGTAGTTGTGTCAAAGTAGTCCTATTGGACTTTTTTGCAAATGCGTTTATATTCTGATGACCTTAAAGGTAACTACAGGTTGCCTTGGTAACGAAATAATGGATATTTGTCCAGTAAACGAAAACGCTCATCCCATCGTATCTCGGACTTATTGTAACAAAATAATCTGCTTTCATTTACGTGATCTACATTCTATTGACTAATATAAAGAGAAAAAGTTACATGCTCTGGTTTCAGGCATTTTCATAATAATTAATTTGCATTCTTTGATGAACATTTCGGAATATTGAAAAGCCTACAGCATGGTGGAAAATAAAATATAGTTATAACATTTGTCAGGTGATAAATTACCATCCCAAAAACTATGTATACACAATAATGTGCAAACTTACAAAATTTGAAGATAAAACTTGAAGACGTAAACAAAAATACATGTATATAGGATAACAAAACAGTTTAGGTAAGAAATTTTACTATAATTATACCGATATACTAGCTGGATGAAGATTACACGTTGTTATATCTAGTACTATATAGAGAAAAAAAAAGTCAAGCATTTATATAGCAACAATTTATTAACTACTCTAGGAACATGTCAAATTTATACCCACTTGCAACTACGTAAAAGCAAAAAACTACAAAATTGTACAATTTAAAACCCCTGTAAACCATTTACATGATACGGCATATATTAGCAATTAAAAGTATACAAACAATTGTACTAAAACTGAGGAAAAAAAATTGCACAAACAGATAGATGATATAGATCATATTAAAGGGACTATAAGCTAGAACAAGAACACACATTATATGTAAATAGAAATAATAAACATGCAGTAGTTGGTAGTTAATGAATGGATCGATGGATTAAACAAGGCATTGAATTAACACACATAATATATAAGCAGCTTTGGTGTCTAAGGTATGTTTCACCCTCACAAACAAATGGCACGTTACACTTGCAATGATAGCACGGTCTCCGTTGCACCAAAATCTTTGACGGGTCTTTTCGCTTTTAAGATTTCTTTCGGTTCGTTGCTTTCATTTTTAACCGGAAGTTTATTTTCGCCGGTGAATTTCTTTGTTTTTGGAATATTTAAACCCATCTTAAACAATGAGCGGGGGAGTGTATGGTGGAGGTAAAGTAACATTTTGATAAGATTTTTATAAGCAATTAAAAAAGATGTGGTAAACCGGAGGTCAAACTGCGCACGATAATTAGAGTCAACGATTCGTCCCACTCGGGATTCGTTCCATAATTAGGCCTAATTGTTTAATTGTTGCCCACTATAATTACAATCATGTTTTGATAAACTTCTGGAACTTCATAAAGACTGTATTTATAGATTAAGTTATTAATATATTTGTTTAAAGGGTAAATTCAATATAAATGAAATAAATTTACTTTGTATGAATTACAAAATGAAAGCTTAATTTTGAATTTTTAGATGAGGTTGGTGCACTTGTGTTTGATGTTGGTTCCATGTCATTCAGGGCTGGATATGCTGGTGAAGATACTCCTAAGGTATGGAAATGAAAGTTTGATAAAGTTTGAAATTGATATGTGGTGTTTCTAACTTTCTTTTTGATTATTCACAGGAGCTTGAAATTCTATCAATAATCGTTTTAAAGTCTGATTTAAAAAATCCATACCTTTATATAAAAAAGACATAGATATGTAATAGAAAGAGCAACCGAAACACGAGGCTATCTGATTTGTACGAGGGGGCTACGCCCCCGAGTATAAATCAGATTGCCGAGTGTTTTGGTGTTCTTTCTCTTTTTTATCATAGTCAAACATAAAAACACGTTCCATGATGTCACAATATGAAACCCCAGAAAAAAGTATCCAATGAATGAGCATCAGAATATGATATTTCTATCGCTATCCCTTTCTCTGTCGTTACAATATGTAAAGCCCAGACAAAATGAACCAATCAATGGGCATGCTCTGGAGTGCGGGTAACGAATACCTGCTCTCCAGTTAACGCACTGTGCATGTATATGTATACAATTTAACTCTGACACATCTTCAACAGAAAGATCCCCAAACTTTGATACAAATATTATATATAGCATGGAGCTTAATATTATGGAGAAGAAACTGGAGAAGTCATGGCGGGATTGTGTTTATACAAGTTATCATATGTTGCGGGATTTTCCGAGATTTGATGCATCCTGGGTAAAAGTAGCCAAAATACCGCCATATTGAATTCTGGGAGGTACATCAACAAAAAAGAAGAAGCATTTTCTACTTATATAAGAAGCAAAAGTTATTCATTCTAAAACATACAATACACATTTTTCACACAAATATTTCTCCGATGAAAATCCATGTTGGCAATGTTAACAATAATTCACGAATATCGTTGAAGTTTAATGAGAGTTCGAAAATTGGAGACTAGCTGCCGCAGGGCTCTACAAATCCTATAGTCTGACGTCCGGGACAACTCTAAAACCACTTGGGACAACTGACAATAAGCAGAAAGTTAGTCCTGGACAAGTCAAATTTTGACAGATGCTAATCTTGGATAACTGTAAAATTATGTTTATTAATACGACCCTTCACAGCATGGTGCGCCGGTAATCTTCGCCTGAGGCAATCAATCTCAGCAGTTGCTACGCTGATTAATTTTACATTGCCACAGGCAATAAAAATAGATAAGACACTAAATGTTTGATAAAAATCTTAAAGACAAAGTCCAACATTATTATAGACATGTCAAAAACATTATTAAGTCACAGACTTGGTCTTTGAAGTTGATATATTGACACAAGCAGACAGTAATTTGTGCCGTGAATTGCAAATTTGGAATTTTTTGTTTTAGGCTTTTTGATGAATTCCTAAGTGGAAAACAATATTAAAATATCCAAAAAGCATCTATTATGAACGCATTCGAACATACAATAGTCAAAATAGTATAATTTATGAGGAAAACAGAAAAATTTTCATTTGTCACATATTTTCGCGATGCCGATTTTTTATATAAATCGTGAGGCAGTTTTAATCAGTTTAAAGCTCTGCAGCAACTAGACATATTAAAAATCTTTTGTTACTTATGTTAAGATAAATAATGATGAGATTTGTAAGTATTTGAATAGTCTAATTCACTATCATATTTTATATTTCCCTACCGGGTAATAATGACTGTCTTTTTCATATTTACCAATTCCAATGTGAAATGTGGAAACTGAGGGAGGCAATGGCTAACTAGACTCATTTTAAAATAATTTGACTTAAATTTTCAAGATCAAGGATAAAAATTCAGGAAAAAAATAAAACTGAAACAAAACATATAGGCCTACACAGGCTATTGAACTTGAACAGTGCTGAAAGGTACCTGGGAAGAGTGCTGAACAATTAAAACTATTTATGTTCTATTTTATACTAAATGAAATACAAAATGTTTACTTCTTCTTTGGATATACACACTACGCATACTGAACATTGGGACACCGAGACTTGGACACTTGTAGTCAATTTTGGGACAACTCTATTTTGCTAGGTCAGTTGTCCTGGACAACTCTATTCCAAAAAAAATTGTAGAGCCCTGCAGGCTGGGATCACCGAAGCGCGCAAAGGCTTGTGGGTCTGAATCTGACTATCGTCTATTTTCGGAGCTTCCTATCCGTTGTATATATATCTGTGTATATAGGTATGGATTTTTTTTAATTGAACTTTTTAAGAGCGATTATTGATAGAATTTCAAGCTCCTGTGTGATTATTCAACAAAATCTATAAAGGAAAAATCTTACCTTTAAATGGCTTTTTAAGAGGGTGTCAGAATATGCGTCAGCAACAACTTTACTATTTTTCTCATTTAGCTTATACTTTTAACTTTATATAGGCCGAAATTCCATCCAGTATAGGAGTGGTTGAAGAAGCTGAGGTTGCCATGGAGACAGATGAGGTTAAGAAAGAAGCTAGCAAGAAATATTGTATTGATACAAACTCACTTAGAGTGCCCAGGAAAGGAATGGAAATACAGACCTTTCTTAAAGATGGCATGAGTATGTGTTATTGTATTTTACCAATCATTTTGAGACTGTTGTCAGATCACTGCACTTTACTACTAAAGTATATTTCTTTTGATTTAAACATATTTTATTGCCAAAAATAAGACATATACATACATGTAGACAGTTACAATACAATGACATGACATATTTGGCAAAAGGGTTGACCCACAAGTTCTCTCAACATTAGCAACGGGTCTTCCCTGGTATATTTCTTAAATTGTTAGTGATTTTTATTCAGTTTTTCATTTAATTTTTAAACAACCGCCATTCAAGAAATTTGTTTAAATTTTTTTTGTAGAATATCTCTAAAAGCTGCTTGCAACAAAATCATTCAGCACCTTCACTTCACTGATATACTATAAAAGCTAGTAAAATACAGTGTAACTTCCAAATTCCGGAACTTCTGAAATCCGGAAACTTCTGAAAACCGAACAATTTTTTCGGTCCCAATTTTTCCCTTCTATTTTCTAATAATATAATACTTCTAAATTCCGGAACTCCTAAATTCTGAATTCCGGACGATATTTTCGTAAAATTAGTGTCAAATCAATGCAGTTTTACCTCCAAAAACCGGAAAAATCCAAAGGTGTGAAATACATTGAAAATCGAGAATGTTTACCCCGCAGGAAGATTTTATCTCCCTGTCGATTGTTTACTAATTAGCGGTGATCGTGTAATTTGACACGCGTTAAAATCACAAACTGTGAAATGGTATGTTTGAAGTGATACGGTAAATCAAAGTAATTTACGGCAGTCAGTTAATTTGAAGTGCTTATTAGCGGATTAAATGACGAATTAATTGGACAATGTGTGCATCAAACGTCTTTAGGGATTTTATTGCATTTGATGTAATAATTTATTAACTAGCATCGGACGATATGTAGGTTTATGCAATTAACAACATTTCTACAAACTGATATGATATTACAGTAATGGCCACATCGTCCTTGACATTTAGTGATATTAAGTGGCTTAGTCTTGTCCACATTATCATAAACCTCTGAATTCCGGAAACCTCTGAAATCCGAACTTTTTGACAAGTCCCATGGGTGTTCAGTTTTCGGAAGTTACACTGTATATACAGTTCTTAAAATTGATAAAGTTATTGACCTATTGAGAAAAAGACAATTTTTGGGGGTTTTTTTTTTTGTACATATTTTTATATGTTTGCACTTACTTGTTTTGTTAACAGTAATTAATATTTTGCATATTTACAATATACAAGTATATTTATTTAAAAAATCTAATATGTTGATTATTTTTTTGTATCAGTAGTGACTTACAATCATTTCAATTTTTATATTGTATTTTATGTATTCATACTTACAATATTTATATGTTACATATATTCCATTTACAATCAGATAGTTTGATGAAGACCTTTGATTTTCAAAGTAGTTGAGTCACTTCTAGCCTTCACAATTAGATATACCAGATAAATTCCTTTTAAAATGAGATATACATTTACATGTATTTTAGGTAGGATATTTTTAAAATTATATATACGTGATTTTGAGTAAGACAATCTAATCTATGTATTGACAGTTGAGAACTGGGAAATGTTTGAGCAGATGTTAGACTATACCTACAAGAGACATATTCAGTCAGAATCCCAGGAACATCCTGTATTGATGTCAGAAGCATCTGTAAGTAAACTCTAGATTTTTAAAGGCCCATTATGCCTCAGAAATGCTTCTTTTTTTATTTCTCAAAAGTCTTTAAATTTTGATATAGTTTCATAGTATCCAAAAAGGTAACTTATTGGCAAATTACCTAAAACCATCTTTTTCATCTATTGCTTTTTGGCAATAAGTACAGTTATAGTGAATAAGTATTTTTAATGGAAGTCAAAATACTATGCTGTTTACATTTTGCTGCTTTTATTACAAATTACATCCCATTTATAGGTTGTTTCTTAGGCATAATGCACAAACAAAAAGTAAAAAAACTTTGAAACCTTTTTAGGGTGAAATACCATATATACATGTACTAGAAGTTAGTGTATTTCAAGGGCATAGGTTTTTAATCCTTAACCTGCTGAGTTTGTGAAATTGTTTTCTCCTGCTATGTATTTGGAACAGTCCATTTCAAGTTAAAGGGGTTTCAGTATCAAAATACAAAAATTTTGCCCAGTGGTCTAGATGGTCTTAATAAGTCCATTATGACTTTTACTTATTGTTACCATCATGACGACATTTATTATCGTATGGTCGCAAGTTGCCTCCATTTGTTTTTTTTTATTTACACTGATAGATAGAGGGGCAACTAGTTTTGGAAAACAATGTACAACCTGTAATGTTTAGTTTGTTTTGTATGTAGCTTTGTATTTATAAACTCTACTGTAGTAGAACTCCAACAAACCCATTCCCATTTACAAAAATATATTTCTGATTTCCAGTTACATAGATATATTTATGATGATCTTTTTTTTCAGTGGAATATTCGTGGGAAAAGAGAAAGACTTACAGAACTTATGTTTGAGAAATACAATATTCCTGCTTTCTTCTTGTGTAAAAATGCTGTCTTATCAGCGTATCCTTTATCATTAACCCTGACCGCACTAAATATCGTAAATGAACTCATCCAATTTTCATCCAATTTTCACTGAGTACAATCATTCATTGTTTTTCGGGAAATTTCAAAAATATTTATTGACTGAATAGCAAACATTGCAGACCATGATTTGACAGCACAGGTCTTGTTCTTCTCTGGTCACATGACCCAAATCTGTTGCCAACAGGAAACTTAAGAGTTAAAACCAAAGGGCTGAATATATTATTTTGTTTTCTTTTTGAATGCAGTTACTTACTGTAGAGCCTCAGAGAAATGAAGTGACATAAGATATGTTATAAAATAAAGTAACTTAGTCGCTTATACTTGTATTACAGGAACTTTTAAAGGTGCACTTTATAAATTTCATAAAAGCAGAAATGGCCACAATTTGTTTATTAAACCAGTTTCATATCGACTCTCATTCTTATTTTGGTGTTTTGACAACCAAAATGAGTTTTATAAGCCTAAAAATCTGCAACCTAATTGTGGCAAAATCTGAATTACAATTCCTGTATGCATGAGAAACTCTGCCTTTGTGTCATCCATAGAACAATAGAAAATCAATAAATATGGTTTTAAGTGTCAGTCGGATTTTAACGGTATATTTTCTGCATTATATAAAGGATGTTTTATATATATCGTTTTAACATTTTCTCATCTAAATAGCTAATTTTGTTATAAAGAGTTCTGCCTTAGTGTATGTTTATGACATTCTGGGTCTTCCTCTATAAGTGTAAGCTGTTAAAATTGAAAAAAATAACTTTGAGTCACTGTTTAAGTGGAAACATATTGAAGTGCCATTTTTCATACTTTATAAAAAATCCTTGACACCAGTTAGTTTTGCCAATGGAAGATCTACAGGTCTTGTGTTAGATAGTGGGGCAACACATACAACAGCTGTGCCTGTCTATGATGGATATGTCCTCGGTCAAGCTATTGTGAAATCTCCATTGGCAGGAGATTTCATCAGCTTGGAGTGCAGGAAACTCATGGAAGAATTAAACGTTGATGTTGTTCCACCATACATGATTGCATCAAAGGTAATAAACATAATAAAGTCTACAATATATATGAGTTTTTTTCCATTTTGCACAATTCTTCTTTATCTGGTACTTCAGTGTTGTTAAATTTTTCTGGTCCTTCTGGTACTCCAGCACTATTAAGTGTTGAAAATTGAGAACCGCTCAACCGGTGCTAGGGGGCATGAGATATGTTGCACTTTTTCATTATTCCTCATGTACAGACTCAAAGGGAGTCTACAATTTTCAAGTTATTTTGTTATGATTAATGCTTTCGAGGGATCACACTTTTTCGAGATTTTCAAAATATAATAATCAGTTGGTTTTTTGTTGGCGATTTTCACGCTTTTGTTGGCCATTTTCATACTTTTATTGGCCATTTTCACATTTCTATAATAAGAGTATTTTTTTATGAAATGAACATAAGAAGAAACTGGAATAACAGTTCAGATGTTTAATGATAGTAATAATTCTATATTGTTCTGACGATATTCCAATCTCATTAAAATCAGATCATCATTTTCACTCTGTTCCTCTTTGCTAGCAAAGGATATTGGAGCAACAGTTAGGGTATGATTTTAATGAGATTGATGATACCCAAGAAGTTAATCTCACAAGACAATATTGTATTTATAGGACTTGAAAGGTAAATAAACAATGCAGTAACCCCATCAGTCCATATGTTTATATAGCATTACATTATGTAAAATATAAATCTATGTTCATTTAGGAACCAGTAAATGATAATCAGCCCGCCAAGTGGAAGAAGAAAGATATACCAGAAGTGACCACATCCTTCCATAACTACATGGTCAAGGTTTGTATTTACAATCAAATAATAATAAAGTAAAGAGAGAGAGAAAAAAAAATCTCTACAGTGAAAAGGTCATACATGTATAAATGTTGAGATCTTATAACTTACAAAACTATTTTGTTTACAACATGTTTAATATTTTAATTTTTAAAGTGCTTTATAAGATATATCAAAAATTTTGGAAGAAAAAAGTGCAATAGAACAGCATGTTAATGTGCATACCGGTAAAGAGCCAAACCAGCCTGCTACTGATACAGTTTGTTGACAGACTCTATACTCTTGGCTGCTTAATTGCAGAATCTCAATATTAATTGCAATAATGATCAAATACAAATGTAGTATTTGATATAAATGTTTGTTGTAGAAAGTAAATAAGTTGTAAGATAAAAAAAGCAGTAAATGCACCTCTGTAATTTTATGTTTCAGGATGTTTTACAAGACTTTGCTGCCTCAATTCTCCAGGTTTCAGATGTTCCATTTGAAGAAAGGTGAGAAAATATCATTTCTATCTACCATATGTCATCAATGTACATGTACCAGATTTAGGGACATTGGTGCTTTTAAGTATTGATAGAGAAATAAACTTTTTTTTCCATCAAACCATAAAGTTTGTATCTATCTCAAAGTGATTTTATGCTGAAAAAGTTTCAAGCTACTTGCAGAAAAAAAAAGTATTGGTTATATCCAGACACACTATAAAGGTAAACTATATGACATGATGAAAATACAATTGGATTGATGATAAAAACCAAGAAGAAAAAGTGTCCAATACCGCTATTATAAATAAAGATCAAAAAATGATACATATCTATATATAGAACGATAAAAAAAGAAGGAAGAATATCCAAATTCAATGCTTATATGGAAAAATGAATTAATAAGTTTTGGTGATATGAATAACTTGAATTTCAATTTAATATATAGTAATATTTTTAGAGTAACAAAACTTTTAAAGACGCAAAATTGATCTGGTTTCAATACAGATTCAACTATAGAATTTTAGCCACAAACTATCTTCTCAAAAAAAATGAATATTATTAGAGAAAATGACTGTAAATTCTGCCAACATGAGCCAGAAACTTAAATACATTTGTTTTGTTTAATTTGTTTTATTGTGAAATTATTAAACAGTTTTGGCAACAATTACAATCATATATCAAAGAAAAATATAATATAAATTTCACTAATTGGAGTAATTTTGATATCTGTTTTGGGAATATTAATATAAACATCATCCTAAATAATATTATATTGCTAGCAAAACAGTACATATACTTTAACAGATTGAACAAAATAAGGCCTTCTTTGGAAATTTTCAAGAAACAAATAGTTTCTAGTTAAACTACTGAAAAATACAGTGCCAAACAGCTGTTTCAATATGAAAAATTTGAACGCTCATGGGAAATGTTTGAAAATTTAGTAAGTTAGTGAGACTGTGTAATTATTAATATATTATTAAGAAGTAGACACCCGTTGTTTAATTATTAATATTATTAAGACACTCCACTTTCCTGACAGACCTTCCATCAGTGAAGTTTACTAATATTTAGAGAATTTCAATAATTTGTAAGTAAATCCTCCATGTTTACACCTTTCTTTTTCTTTTTAGTGAAGACTTACACAGGTAAATGAAAACATTTTCCTCTGAATGAGATGAATTTTAACCTCAAACTTGTTTTTGCCTTTTCCACATACTTGTTGCTTTAAATTCAATAAATACATGTATATGCAACGCTGCTGTGTAGTAATATCTTTAGTATTATGTTTTAAATTGAGGTTATCTTTACTTTGTCTTCTTTCGCATATATAATTCGAAGAATAAAGGAAAATGTTAATTTAGCAATAGACTACTTTAAAAATTAAAAATTAAAAAAAAAACAACATTTTAGCTATTAATAATTAAATTAGCATATTAATATTGTATCTATTTAGTTATAGTGACGCTATGCCCATCCAAAGGGAAATAGTGAATAAACAGGTGTAAGTCGAAATAACCTTACATTTTTGCCATGATTTGTTTCAGTTTTTCAATATATTCCGTAACTCGTATGGCTCAAGGAATATTTTGGAAATAAATTCTATTTAATAAAAGTATGGGGCAGTCTTTATGTTTTAGGCAGATATATATTTTATCCAAAACTTTTTCTTATATCAACTGTTGTCCTGCACCATAATTATTGTCAATCTTGAAATTTATAGTCAATAAAACTCAACTTGACATTGAAAAAAATGAGCTTAATGTCATTTAAATGTTTGAAATATAATATGATGAAATATGCCATGAAATAATAATGTAAGGTACATTAGAGGATGGCTCTCCGACCCCACTGCACCAATTACGGGGAAAATCAATGGGCAACCTATGTTGCTGAAAAATTTAAAAAAAAAGAAAAAAAAGTGTCCAATACCTAGTGGTTAATGTGACTGACTTTGAATCAGTTGCCCCTCACCACTGTGGGTTTGATTTTTTGCAAAGTACTTTCGATTCTGTCATTAGATGGAGTTATCCAGCTGGCTTAAGAAAATTCAGTTTGTTTTACACAAATGCCTAGACATGATGGTTAACAAATGTCTTCCTCCACCTTCAAAATTTGTAAGTGGCCATATGACCTTTATACTTTCCAGTGCCAGTGCCCAGGCATAAAATCTTACAAAAGCATCAAACTAAGCAAAATATAGCTTGACTTGCTGATAAAATGTGAATTGAATGTTTTTATTTTTTAGTCAATCATTAAATATCTGTTTTACAGCGGAGCAGATAGCATGCCTTGTACACAATATGAATTTCCCAATGGATTCCACCGAGATTTTGGTGAGGAAAGAATTCGGATACCTGAAATGTTGTTTGACCCTTCATACATTAAGGTATGGTGTATTTTCAGATATTTCATTAATGTATATAAAGTATTTTAACCTTTTACCTCATATAGACGTGTTTTGACGGCTTTTTGCACCCCACCCCCCTTTTGAGGCATGAAACAGTGAAAAAAATGTCCTATTTAGGCCCCAAACACTGTTTTTCGTTTGAGGAATGTTGTTAAAAAAGTGATCACTTTTTCGGGATGTGCCTCCTTCTGTTTGGGGGATTTGAATGGGGGTGGCAGTCCCCCTCATCGCCAAGAAAATTTTGGACATGTGACAGGCTAAAAAAGGCCTCAGGTCAATCTTAAGGTAATGTGTAACAAAAACACTAAAAAGCCTTTTACACTATCTCAATCCATTGAGAAGTTGCAGCACTTTGAAATCAGTTTTGATGGGGAAAAACAATGCAAAATAGTGATTTTTTTCGCAATTCACGCAAGTCACTCTGTTGCCATGGTAACAAAATATTTAAGATTGAGCATGCTGTTACAGAGGCTATGGTCCAGTCAACATTTGTGCCAAGTTTCATCAGTATTGAATGATAATCATTTTTCATAGCATTTTGAACTTGTAACAGGAGGCTTTTAAATGAAAAAGGCCATTTTTCACGATATGCTCATGTGGTAAAAGGTTAAGGACAGAGGACCTATTAATTAGTGCAATTACTTTCTTTTCACTTGTGATTTCAAGCCACATCATGAAGAAGTATTTGAAACTACCACACCTACACACATCAGTATCACAAAGATTTTTTTATAACATGAGAATGGTTTTCAAGCAATTATCATAGATAACCCTATATAGACTGTAATCATTTGAATATTCTTGCAAATACATACATAAATAACATAAAAACCAGGCTTTTATCAGTTCCTTATTTACAGCAGGGAAAATCTTCATGTCATATTAAGCTTATGAAGGTGTATACTAATTTATTTTAAGTATTATATTTGTGGCAGTTTTTCAGTAAGGGCACAGCATTTAGCACAGGTTTTACTGAATACAGTTACAATTCTGTGACAAGCTAATTAAGATGAATGAAGTGTAAGCATGGAATTATTGATTAAATCTGAAAATTCTATCTTGCGGATTTAATTTGAATAATCTCCCCTGATATTAAAGAGCCCTATCTCTAGATAGCTCATGTATTGGCTTTCAAAAAGGCCTGATCTTGAAGATTATGATTCTTTGAATTTGTTTGATATATTATACATACTTCAATTTGCATATAAAACATTATAAACTGAATGTAAAACTGATATGTTATATTTCAGGATGTTCCAAGTAATTCTATGTTGAGTATGGGTCATGTGATCACAACCAGTGTGGGCATGTGTGACATTGATATTAGACCTGTAAGTTACTCCTTGATGTTTTCACCCTGCAGTGACACTGTAACTGTGTTAAATGGAAAGAAATTTCAACAAATGTGTGATATAAAGAATGTTATACATGTATCTGAAGGTTTTGGTACATTGCATTCAAAATTATAGAATACCATTATCTTGTAAACTTCACTTTTCTAAAAAGAAACAAATGTCATTCTGCAATTTTGATAGTCAGTGAATTATTTCTTGTATTCTGGTAAATTGGGAAAGGTTGGTAGTTTGGACTTGCTTTTCTGGTAGATGCATTACCTGAAAGTGAATTTGGATAGACCCACCAGCTCATTTTTTGTGTCGCCTCTACGGAGTAGTGGCGACATATAGGGATCACTTCTCTGTCGTCTGTCTGTCCGTCCGTCCGTCACAAAACTTGTCCGGACTACTCCTCATAAACTACTAGTGCAATTTCATCCAAACTTTACAGGAATGATCAGTACCAAGTCTAGTTGTGCATATTGTCAGCATTTTCCGGTTCAATGATTTTTGTCAGAGTTATGGCCCTTTAATAATTTTTAATTTTAAAGTTTGTCCGGACTACTTCTCTTATACCACTAATGCAATTTCAATGAAACTTTACAGGATTGATCTGTAGCTCAAGTCCTTGCGCATATTGCATGGGTTTTTCGGTTGAATGATTTTTGGCCGAGTTATGGCCCTTTGATAAAAAGGTGTTTTTTTCTGTGTGTTGCCAGATACACAAAAGCTTGTCCGGACTACTCCTCATAAACTACTGGTGCAATTTCAACCAAACTTAACAAGAATGATCAGTACCAAGTCTAGTTTTGTATATTGTTGGCATTTTCCGGTTCAATGATTTTCGTCAGAGTTTTGGCCCTTATATATTTTTTAAAAGAATTGTACGGACTACTCTTATACCACTTATGCAATATCATTGAAAGTTACTTTGAAACTTAACAGGATTGAGCTGTAACTCAAGTTCTTGGGCATATTAAATGGGTTTTATTAGTTGAATGATTTTGGCCGAGTTATGAGCCTTCAAGAAAAAGGTGTTTTTTTCTGTGTGTTGCCAAATACACAAAAGCTTGTCCGGACTACTCCTCATAAACTACTGGTGCAATTTCATCCAAACTGTACAGGAATGATCAGTACCAAGTCTAGTTGTGCATATTGTCAGCATTTTCCTGTTCAATGATTTTGTAAGAGTTATGGCCCTTTAATAATTTTTATTTTTAAAGTTTGTCCGGACCACTTCTCTTATACCACTAATGCAATTTCAATGAAAGTTTACAGGATTGGTCTGTAGCTCAAGTCCTTGCGCATATTGCATGGGTTTTCCGGTTGAATGATTTTTGGCCGAGTTATGGTCCTTTGATAAAAAGGTGTTTTTTTCTGTGTGTTGCCAGATACGCAAAAGCTTGTTCGGACTACTCCTCATAAACTACTGGTGCAATTTTATCCAAACTTTACAGGAATGATCAGTACCAAGTCTAGTTGTGCACTGTCTGTCTGTCTGTCCGTCTGTCACAAACTTTGTTCCAACATGAAATTGGCCATCATGAGGCGACACATTGTGATTACTGATCGCTCTTGTTTGTTAAAATTGAATCTATTAAAGTGACATTATGCCCATCCAAACGTGTAAAGTGAGTGAACTGGTCAAAGTCAAAATAAGTTTTCATTTTGCCATATTTCCTTTCAATTTCGCATAAATGATACAATGTAAAAAAATTTTAATGACTCACATGGCGCAAGAATATTTCTGTAAATATGAATTAACTGTAACATTCAGTTTATAAAAAGAAGTGGAGCAGTTTTTTTTATATTTTAGGCAGATTTATATTTCATCATAAACATTTTGCAATATAAGCTGTTGGTCAAATAGGATTTTAACAGTCAATATTTTGAAATAAAAAGTCAATTCAGCTCAACTTGACAATGAAAAACATGATCATAGTGTAACTTTAACTAACTCCTTGTTTCTCGTTTGTGTTGAGAAAGTAGATAATGTTACATGTAGTTAATTTGTATTTGTTTATTTGACCAATAACCTATTTGGCTCTTTTATGTAATATTTTATCACACTGTAAATATTTTAACCTATTTTTTTCAGAGTTTATACAGTAGTGTGATAACAGTAGGTGGTAATTCCCTCTTGAATGGTTTCACAGATAGGCTTAACAGAGATCTCAGTAATAAGACACCCTCAGTAAGTTTTCTAAATATATCATGTTTACACTTACTTTAAACATACTCAGTAGTGCCCTATTGTGAAACAAGTTCTTGCAATTTATATTACCGGAATCACATTCAAGCCGGCCATTCATTGAACTTAGTAGTACTGGTGCCATATATGAGGAAAGATGGTTGTGACACACCTAGGTCCAAGGTTATAGAAAAATTTAATGAGCACAAACTCAGATCTCAAGTATTTGATTTGTCCTAGACCAGCACAGAATATATATTGACCAATGGAACCAATGGAAATCCTGAGATTTGAGACAGAACTCAAATAAAAGTTTTATAACCACAAGGCCTCAATAGAGCTTGAACACATGATCTTTGTGTTAAAACATCTTAACCACTAGGTTCCATACACTTTGGGTACCAACCATATATGATACAATACTATAAACTGCAAGACAATAACAACAGTTAAATGATTCAAGTGAATTCAATGTTATAAGGAATAGATATGATTTTGTAAGTGCTGTAGAGTTCTGTATTTAAGTTTAAAGAGTTTGTTATATTATTTAACAGCATTTTCCAATAATATCATAATTTTTATATTTCATTAAGTTTAGAACTGTTATTTTGTAGCAATAAAAACTGCATATAGTGAAAATCAGTATCTATAAATATGGTCAAATAGACAGCATGTATGTGGGTTTTTTTCACCTAGATATGTGTTGGATTAACCTATTTAAGTGTTGTTTATAAACCTGAACAAATTGAATAAGACAGATAATTATGAAAATATTTAAGAGTGGTTAACACTTAAGACTAGTAATCTAATGATAGCTAGCCGCATGGGTTCAAACCAAGGCAAGGCGTTGTTTCCTTGAGCAAGAAACTTTACACTAACTCATTGCTCCGTACTGGTTGGTTCCAGGAATGGGTTAGAAAGTGTGTCTATAAGCTTATAACTTCCTACTCAATCAAACTAAAACTAATTCTGAATAAACCAAGACAGAAAATTTGCCTCATTTCTTACAGACAATGAGACTAAAGTTGATTGCAGCAACAGGGTCATCAGAGAGAAGGTTTAGCAGCTGGATTGGTGGATCTATCCTTGCTTCCTTGGTAAGTGATTTGTACGACATATATAACAGAATCTAAACTTAACCAAATTTTTTACTTCCCAAATTAGCAATTTTAGTGATAACTTTTCCGAATATCAAGAGGCTAAGGCCTTTTCCCAATTAAGTGAGAAAAACCACCAAAATTATATTATCAGTTGTAAACTTGAGACTTGAAATGAATTGTTGTAATGGAGTTTTACTGTAGGTTACTGTAGGTTATCATGGAATCATTATTTGAACTAGCCATTCAGAAGCTCAAGTTTATAATAAGTGCTAGTTTGCAAATCATTTGGGATAAAATTTAGGAGTAACAATAAAAATCAGGATCAGAACAGTTGGTTTAACTTTAAAAAGACCATGCAAAGTAATAAAGTTACCTTACTAAAAGATTTCATCATCTTATATCATTTCAAGTCCAATTTTAAGGTTACATTGAATGTTTAACATATAAATAATTGAGTATAAATTTTGAAATATGAATTTTGTAATTGATCTTGATCTTCAAGCAATAGTTAAAGTGGCTTGTTTGTACATATTGGTTGCAGTTTACCTGAGCCTCCATAGAAAATACTGGCCCATAAGTCAGTTAATGTCTTGCTATGCGACAGAATTTTATTTTGTTCTTACCTATCAAATTTCAGGGATCCTTCCAGCAGATGTGGATTTCTAAACAAGAATATGACGAAGGCGGTAAAAACTGCATTGAGAAGAAATGTCCTTGAAATGATAACAAATGTGACTTGGATTTTAATCTTACCATTATGTGTTCACTTGCAGATTTACCATAGTTTTCTTGGCTTTTTTTTCAACAGACTGTGTAGTTAATTGATTTCTGAGTGATACAACATATTAAAGATGGAAAATGTATTGATGTACATGCAGATACTGATGTTAAGATGGCAGAATTGTGAACAAATTCATCAGAACTGTATCATGCACAGTTGGAAAGAATATAATTTAATAACATTTAAAAAGTTAAAAGCAGAAACTATTTCAAACCAAGTTAGGCATATATGTTACTTGTATAAGTTACAAATTTCAAGGGTTTGGTAAAATATGTTTTTCAAAGTACAATATTGATGTAAACATGGTGTAAGATATATTCTTAACAATTAATTTGCTTGCTTAATTATGAATATCTCTTTAATGTACTAAGTTCTAAATTCAAAAGCAGGACAATTACACATGCTTAAATATATTTCTGTCTGGATTAAGAACAAATTAAGTTATAATAACTGGGTTTATTATCATGAAATCAAAGTTCATGTTTTCCTTGATGTACAGAGAAAACTTGCTATAGTTGATACAGATGTTGAAAAATGTGTAGATTCAATTGATGTGAATATGAAGTTTTTGTAGTAAAAATAAATATTTGAGTACAACACAGTGTTTTATGTGTTTTTATGTTTTCATGGAAACATGATAAATCTGGTTAGATATATCAGTGAAGGTTCAAAGTGTTAGACATTATGGATTTTGATACCCAATTTGATTTATATCAGCTCCTAAATGACATAAACTTTGTTTTGATACAGTCAAATTTTTATACTTTGCTTTGCTGTACGATTTTCCGTTTTTGTGTTGTCTTCATATCTAGGATGCTTCTCTTATTACACCGTAACCAAACTTAGTTTGGAGGGGATAGACAGACAGAAAGAAAGAAAGATAGATAAAGATGTTGAATTTTCAGTAAGTTGTCCCTTTTTGACATAAGCATGTCCTGAAATTTACATATCTTTGAAACCAGGAAAAACATTTACTTCAAGTTATGATATACACATGTACATGCATATGAAGAGTCGCAAGAAAATTCTTTTCATGAAATTTCACAACTCTACAGTCAGACAAAGTTATGGCCCCTTCTTATACTTGGATGAAGTTATTAAATATACATTTACAGAAATAACGGGTTTCAACTTGAAACTTTAATTGTAGTCAAAATACTACTTTGTTTACAAATTAATTGCAGCCTTTATGACATATGGATGCACATTCAGAGCTACTATCATCAGTTATTAATCTAACTTGCTCTAATACATTATTAAAAGATTATTAAACACATGTTTGCCCTTTCTAAAGAATTAAAATTTTACTGGTACCCGAGACATAATGTGCCTATATAGGCTATGTTGTCAGTTTCCTATTAAATTTATTTGCTGTACTGGTTATAACGACATTTTTTGCATTGCTGAAATGGAAAAAAAAAATAAAAACGTCATCACACTTTCATTTGCCAGCCACGTCTGGGTCTTATAAATATGACGTTGCTTTGTGATAGCGTGCTTGTCCTACATAGCCACCCCGCATAGCTCAATCGGTTAGAGCGCGAGACTTGTAATCTCGACATTCTGGATTCGATTCCCGGGCTAGCCTACTGATCAGTCTTTCGGATGAGACTTAAAATCGAGGTCCCGTGTATGAGTGCTTAAACACTTGGCACGTTAAAGAACCAGGGGAAGCTTCTGGAATTGGGGCATCTTTCTATTTCTTTCACTATCCTCCAAAATATAAAATGACTAATACCCTTCTGGGGGACTCGTCCATATGGGCAACCGGTGGCGAGTATAAATAAACTCCTACACACACTTGTTCTACATGTCAATTGAACTCTCACAAGCATGTTGCATCTCATACTTTGAACTAGAATAATTCAGGCATCCGAATCTGGTCAGTTCAAGCAACTTTACGAGATAATGAAAGTACATGTATGTTGCCTGTTCAGAACTACGCTCGGACATTCCTAAAATGGATATTAATGTACTAGTATTTTGTTGACAACCCCACAATACAACAAATATATCCAATGAATGCAATTTACCGTTACTGAGTGTGCACTGTACGCAACAGGTACTTAACAATCGATATAGGTTAACCATCATTGGCATACCAATGGTAGACACAATTTATTGATAACTGTGAAGACAGACTAGGCGTGGTAAGTTGAATTTTTACCTTCAAAATTTAAATTTACATTTAAGGGCATTTATTAAAATTTTTAAATTGGGTTTTGCCTTTATTTAAAAAAAGAAATTTAAATAAAAGTATTTTAGTTTGGAAATTTACCACAGGGAAAAATACGTTCATTTTTTGTATGAAAGACACATGTATAGTGAGATTGTCGAGAAATTAAACATCGTCTTTTAAACCTGGACCACCGAAAGGGACGAAAGTAAAAACTAATATGTTGCAATCGCAGTGCTGAATTGACTGTGTCGATTGAATAAGAAAAATGAAAAGTGAAACATCTCTCACGCCCCCTAGCACTGTATAAAACAGTGTTATTTTTTAATCCAGTGCCTATTTTATATGCAAAACCCGGAAAAATAGTTCTATAAGATAAAAGCAGAAAAACAAACTACAACGTGATATATTTTATATATAAATTGGTATTTTTAATTCAAATACAACATTAATATCTGCAGCAACTATGTTAATTCTTAAATTATAAATAAGCATTTTACAATATGTTTATTTTTTAAGCTTTCAGATACTGGACAAACAGAAAGAAAAGGATGGCATTCATCCTCAATATATACTACTTGTATTTGGGTACACACTTTACAAATACATGTATACTCTTGCTATTTCTAAATCACGTGAAGATAATCTAAAGCTACTTATATCAATTTTTTTAAATATCCCTCTAACTGAATTTAAATGTTTAAAAAATAAAATCGAGTTTGAATCCAGATTAAGCAAGCATTTTTTGCGTATTATTGGTATTTGAATACCATCTGAGATTCTGGTATACATGTCTTTTGGATTAATTACATCTGTCGCCAGTGATACAAGTTTATAATTAATATGCATATCTATTAACAAACATAGAAACTTTGCAACACTTCTAGCTGCTGCACAATAAAACATGTGTATGAAATGATATTGCTATGTTTCTGTACAGTTCTAGTATTCATATCAGATGTTCTATTCTTGCAATACAATTATAAATTCTAGTAAATCCCATAATCACATCTTTTCTGCCCTTTCCGTCAAACTTCTTGATTATTGATCACTGATAATAGCCGAGATTTTCCGATTGTAATCCCACAGACTTTACAAGATCTTATTTCGAGAGCTACCACATTTGAAATTGCTTAAGAACATTCTTTTCTTTTGGATCAATGCTTGTTTTATAGTTGCATAAAAACAATTTCTTTCTTGCGTCACAAAATGATATGCAGTATGGCATTTGGGCGTGTTCATGGTTAAGCAGAATTTCCTTGATTTTCTTGCCGTCATGTGATAACATGTAAATGCTTCCTTTATGATCCCATTTACACACAAGCACTATACCACACTGTGTAGATGCCAAACCTCTTACATCTGGAAGACCATTGTCTGTGTACTTAGCAAGTACTTTACAATCAAAATCAAACTTGTAGACAGCCGTGGCCTTGTTTTCTTTGAAACTGTTAGCAACATAAAATGCATTGTTGTCATGCTCCATTTCTATGCTGACAATCATACCTAGTTCCGCTGGGTGTCCTTGCTTTATCACAACCCAATTTGTATTCATGACTTCAAGTGTAGACTCGTATGCTATGACCAACCTTTTGTTTCTGCAAGCGATTTTTCTTACATACCCCCATCTATCAATAGCGTAGATTTCAACGAAATCGTTCTTGTCTGTAAGAGCAAATACTTTTATTTTCTTTTCGTCCGGAATTGTGACCGCAATGGCTTGCTTGCCCAGCACTGCTACATCATGTGGTTCTCCAGATAACTGAATTCTCCCTTGCAATTCACCCTTTTCTATATCAAACACTTTTAAACACTTGTTTCCAAAATCAGCAAGAACTATCTGATTTTGTGAAAAAAGAACCGAAGCGATTATAAAGCAATCAGATTGGTCCTGGTGGGATTTTATTTCTATTTCACTTTGAAAAATTGGCTCCATATCTTTCAGCAGCTTTCTAGGTCGTACATCGTTATTGATGTTTTTCAGTGTTCCAAAAGGAACGGATGATGACATTGCTGCGTGCAATTCAAGGGACTTGTTGAACACATACTTCTCTGTCTGACTGCTGTAAAGCATTTGTAAACACGCCGTTTCCATTGTCGCCGCTCTCCCTTTAACCTGATTGGCAACCACAAACAGTCCATTAGCTTCACCTGCATGCTTATCCAGGCTGTCTTTCATATCCTTAATTTCATGTGTAAGTGAAAGATGTTCTGCTTTAAGTCTGGTAACAATCTGTTCATTTTCCAGTTTCCTTTTGTTCAATCTATCAAGCATGTCTGCTTCAACTTTATCTAGATATGCATCGATTTCTTTCCTGAAAGACTTGATGTCTCTCAACGCCTGCGAATATGATTGGTCGATGTCTCGATCTGCGGTTTGTAACGAAGTACATATTCCATCAAGTTGTTTGCAAATATATACTAATTTTCCTATCAAATTTCGATGCTCGGGACTATCAAAATATCGACCAGATATATCTTGTATTCGATCTACTTTACAAATCTTATGGTCCAACACCATGCAATCTCCACATCCTAGTTCATCGTGAGACGAGCAAAAGAACTTTAATACTTCACCTTTATGCTTGTTACAGATCTTATTACATGTGTCATCATCTAGGTTTGGAGCCGTGGACCTTGGCATCAATTGTCCTTCTAAAATCAAATGGTTTTTAGTCGCAGATTGTTTACGATGATATTTTATGCAGTCAGTACAAAAGAATTCGTTACAGGACTTACAATAGCCTGTAGCCACTACACTCTCCTCGTCATTCAAACATGGCTGACAGTATTTTTGTTCTTGTTCATCTACTCGACGTCCTGGTACTTCCATTTTTGTTTTAAAAACGATATTTAAATTAGAATAGACGTATATTTTCCATTGTTTCCATGTACACGTTTTTATTTTAGTGGTTAAATACTGTGCAGTTACAGATGCATTTGAACAGTTAAACCCAGCGACTTTATATGCAGCTTTTCGATTTTATACCGATATATCATGCTCTACTTGTTTCAGAATACCATACATTATAATATCTATATTTAGACCAATAATATGATATGAAATATAATGATATGCGGATACAACTTGTGAGACATAACAAAAAAAGCAGTAGATTGATAGAACCGCGTATATTAGCTTTGCATCGAAATGAAATGAATATTGATTAATTAAATGATTGATTGATTGATTGATTTATTATTCATTCATTCATTCATTGTTATTTTTCATAAATTCTAACCTGTATTGATTTTTACTTTGAGATATAATTATCGCACGACTGAACTTTTATTGATACTATAAATTAAATACATGTACATGTATATATTTATACCAATAACCGTAGGTTCTTTAATTGTGCTGCTACAAAATTTAAATAACTTGAGGCATTAACCAAAAATGTTTGCTCGACAACTTACAATAATTCCTTTACAATAATGTACTTTTATAAAAGTAATTTTGAAAATACACATACGTTCATGTATTGTAGAAAAAAGTGAAAACCAGAAGGTTAAAAGATTATATATAGATTAATATTTACTGTAAATGTTCGGAGTCAGCGAAATTATTTTTTTTATAGAAACCTGTAAATTAGACATTTTTGTCATCAATACCAATCCGATTCTATATTTTTTACTTTAAATTCTACTGCTGTAAAGGATATACCATCAAATAAAACTAAATAAAGAAAACCTTCAGAATCATTTAATATTTTTTTATAAGTTCTCGCTCTAGATTTACAAAAGAATTGGAATATTGTTTATATTATACGATTTTGCATACCTTTTTTATAACTACAGAATAACATATATTGGATACAAATATTTGACAGTTTACTATGAAAAAGATAAGTAGGTAGGTAGGTTAGTACGTACGGGTAGGCAGGTAGGAAGGAAGGTAGGTATAGGGGGCTGAGATCAACAAATGTATAGTTCATATTCACAAATATATTTTCTTTTTAATTTCATATAATTGGAAAGACGTTTATGTCTTTTAATTAAAGGTCCAGATAACGGCCGTAAGCTAGTATAACAAGCAAAATTTACAAGAAATAATGAAATAAGAGACTGTAAGGAATGATGCACCAGATAATTTTAATCCCCGTTTCCATGTGGGCAATTGCAAAGAAATAGCCTATTTTAGCACATTTCTCATGATTTGTTCTAATGTCAGGTAGATAATAGGCGTGCTTCGTGGAGGCTGTTTCAAATGTCATATACCTATTTTTTCATATGATCATGCAGGTAAATTATGTTTTCTTACCATTTATTCGTTATTCAATATGAACAAACGATAAGAAAGTGTTTCAATAACCTTATAGCTTTCAACACAATCAAACTAACATAAATTTCTATAAACTAATACAATGTATAAACAAATCTTAGATCTCTTTTCTGTATTATTGATCTTACTGCTATTTGTGTAAAATATGCAATGACAAAAAAAAAAATGACATTTCTTTTTATTTTGTATATGTATGTTGTTATTCTATTACATACGAATATCTCAAATGAAATTTGTTAAATTGTCTCCTTTTATATTTTTATGATATTTATGAATAAAAGCGAGAAAAAAATATTTACATTGCACAACATTTTATATTCGATAATTAAATATTTTGTATACATGTATTAATATTGCTCGCATTTCATACCATATCTATCTCTATCGCGAATTACGCAAAATTAGCTGTGCATGTAACTATGCTTTTTCTTCACTTGTCCCGCGTAGGTTCGAATCCCGCCGAGGCCTTTGATTTTTTTTCATGTGTGAAAGCTATCTATCTTACGGAACGTCGACAAGTTCTTGCAATTTATATTAATCACTTTCGAGTTCGCTTCCTGGAACCAACCAGTACTGGTGTCATATGAAGATACATGGTCGTGACCCGATTAGGGCTCGAACCCATGATCCCTGGGTTGAGAGGCAGACACCTTAACCACTAGGTCATCGCTCCAGTGCCCGTTTGTGTCTGAAATAATTCTCGGAGGGACACCTGAGGTCTTCATCTGCCATTAACGCTGGTAAGTCGCCATTTGACCATTACAGTCTTGGTGCGAAGTAAAAACCCAACCTAATAGGTTGTTTTAATAACTTAGTAAAGTGCATGTTTAAATATGCGTATATAGACAGTGATATGCACATTTAATCAATGTAATGTTCTATTTATTGTATAGTTCCTTGTCCCCCCAATAAGTTAAGATTCCTTTGACCCATAGTCTTTATATATTTAGATTGGTCATGATAAGTAGATCAGCCCTAATGATTTAGAGGTCACCAGGTCAAAGGTCACAAGGGCCTTGACTTAAAAAAGCAACTACTGGTAAGATATTTTGCCGTTTTATATTTGCACCGTCGGTGCCATTTCGTATTTCATCATTTTCACGTGCAATTGTGGCGCCGTTTTAAATTTGCACCGGCGGCGCCATTTCGTTTGTCATCATTTTCACGTGCAATCGTGGCGCCGTTTTATATTTGCACCGGCGGTGCCATTTCGTATTTCATCATTTTCACGTGCAATCGTGGCGCCGTTTTATATTTGCATTATTGGTGCCATTTCGTATTTCATCATTTTCACGTGCAATTGCTTAATATATAAAAGAAGGAAAAAAGATCTATTTAGAGTCTAGTGAATTATATCAAAGTGAAAGGATATTTTTTAACGTTGAAACAGGGGAACTGTCATATTTTGGCAAGTAATGCTACTTTAATTACGAGTAAAAATTTAAGGAATTTAGTCACAATCACAACGGGTAAACGAAAACACTGTATCACTGCCCACGTGAGATTTTTACCATGATACTGAAGATGATTTTTATAATAATAAAGACCTCCATTTTAAAGATATGAAATAAAAACTGTGTTTAAATAAAAACTAATAAAAACTAATAGAATCGACAGTCTGTAAATGATAACGATAAAAGAATAAACATACATGTATTATATTGCCCACACACAAAATAGAACAGTATCTAATTGCGTAGACTAATTGTTTTTGAGTCGAGTCCAAATATTAAAATCTTTCCGCTCAAATTCGTCTTTTCGCGAAAAAGTAAATATATAATCTGAAGGACTACTTTATTGCGCTTTAGTTTAATATACAAAGCATTTAAAATATAATTTTGTAATATCATACAATTTACTTCCATAAAAATGTAATAATAGAAGAAGCATTGCCGAAATAATTTCCAATCTTGAAAAAATGACGATCTATTTCTTATGCGTATATAATTTTAGAAAGGAGTTGCTAGGCACATCCGGAAGTAAAATGATGCATGATGCTATAAATAAAATTAGGGAAAATACTTTTTTATAGCATATTTTAAGCTCAGTTGAAACAACCTTGTAACGCAATTTATTCTAAATTGACAGTTTGAAGTAGATCCATTTGGTTAAGATGGTGGCATTAGATAAAACACCGGCAGACGTGGTGTTTGTTGTTGAAGGAACAGCAAATCTTGGTGCATACATTGAAGATTTGAAAACAAACTACATCCTACCTACATTAGAGTAAGAAAGAATACTGTCAACAATTTATCGTATTTGCCATTTGAAAGCTTTATATAGGTTGAACTCAAAATGATTTTACATGAATTATCATCTTAAAAATATTATGTCGGTCAAAAGCTATAGGCCCCTACATAGCTTAATATGTTTTGTGAACTTAATATGTTTTGTGAAATGTTATATAAAATATATTTATTATATACTTTGAAATGAAATATTGATGAAATAAAATGTGTATTTTCATTTTACGTATTTTCACTGTAAAAATTTATTTTTCACTGCAGTGAAACATATTTTCCGTATTTTCACTGGTGTCTTGCCGGACTACTTTCTTTTAAATTCTGCCAGTACTCAAAATTTAAGGGAAAGTCTTGCAAATTTTAATGTCCAGAAAGAGAAAAATGTATATAATAAACAGAAAATTCAAGTTTTTTCTATATAAATACATGATTTATTTTCATCTTGTGGCATGAAAATTACCATATTTCACTCGTGGCTACCGCCACTCATGAAATATTTATTTTCATACCACTCGATGAAAATAAATCATGTATTTATAGAAAAAACTTGAATATCCTCTATATATATACCGACAGTAAATAAATTTTGATTTGATTCCTGTAATTAGTAAATATGACATTGCTTTAAGATAATTTTAGTCCTATATATATATGACGTCGCTTTGAGATATTTTGCTTCTGACCAAAGCACTTCATATCAAAATTGTTCAAAAATTCATAGCATGTTCCTCAAGAAAATCTGGCAGAACAAAAAAACACTAAATTCAGCGTAAATATACATTGATTTTGACTCAGTATGGCCGATATTCAAAAATAGATTGATGTTTGTATTTAATTTTAAATTGATAACTACAATTATTGAGAGTTGTTGTTTAAGAAAAAAATTTGGAATAAAGCTTGAAAGGCAAGAAAATCAACACTTATTTAAATTTTTTTATGATGCTTTTTATGATAAACTATAACAAGTCTGTAACTTGTGATATATTGGACTAACATATTTTTACTTCTTATGTATTATGTATTAATAAAATGATTTAACTGTCACATCCTAAAAAATCATGTTTAAATCCTTTAATTTAATTACATTCCTCATATAGCCCATAAACAAATGGCCATCTTACAGTTACAGTGCACGAAATCTGACTGGCTAAATTGAATGCCAGCTTTTAAATAGTCGAATGTTTTGCCTATGCACCGTCAGCATGCATGCATATTTTTCCTTTCTGAAATTTGGAATCAATCTTACAGTAAAGCGCTTTACTTACAACTTAACCAGTATGATGGATAGCACAACTTTGTTCCATTGTCATTATATCTGAAAAAGTTTTTATTCCATGAATTATATTATTTTGACTTTACTATCTCAAGCATACCTGTATGCTATTTAATAACCTTAAAATACATTTATTTGTCTACATCCCTTTAAATTAATACTGGCCCTGATTGAAAAAAAGTGATAAGCCTTTACCACGTGAGCACATACATGCAGTCTGACCAGGTTCTCTGCACTGATTGCTGACCGACTAAAATTTTCATCTTTATATCTCCAAAATTTGGAATGGACATTAAAGCGATGTTGATAGTAATACAATTATGGAATGAAAGAAATGAATAACATTGGCCTTGGACTTACCATCTTTTGTCCTAGACAGAAATGTTAAAATATTTTTAACTGTAATGCTACCTTAGTGTTTCATTCCAGCTAATAAGCAGACTGGCATATGTTTTTAGCTTGGCTGTTTGCAGTATGGAAATCCTTGCATGCTATTTTAAAAGTAGAAATCATAAATGGCACTCATAGTTTTTGTCATTTGTCACAGTGACACTGTATATTTTTTTCTTCAGGAAATTCAATGGTGGACCACCTGATCCAATTGATTATGGTGATGATGTAAGTTAAGAACCTTTCTTTTGTCTTAATTGTGTGCATGTAAATTTTATATGATTTACTGCTAATAGTTCTGCAGATTAAGTGATATTAGGATTTTCAACTTTAACTATTTGAATAATAGTGGGAGTTATTCATTTTATTGTACCAACATGGTGTCAGTGTTGGCATTGGCATGGCCATCACACTTTAATAATTGGAGGTATCTATTCCAGGTCCATAACTCTTGCCTGGATATATAGCCCTTTTTGAAGATAGAAAAAACAGGGTTTAAGTGTTACATGCAAGATAATTTCTTTAAAACTACTTAAATATTTACTTTTAACACATGCATTTAGGATCATATTTGAAGTTGACATTCAAACCCATAACTCTAGTACAAAATTTTGACTAAATTATAGCCTTTGTTTTGATGCACAATCAATAGTGAAAGCTGCTGTAGACTTGAAATATGATACATATCACAATCTTAAATGTTGGTAGGGGCGTCCGTGGCAGAGTGGTTATGGTCGTTGACTTCAAACCTCTTGCCCCTCACCACTGTGGGTTCGAATCCCTACAGGGACTTTGGATTCTTTTATGTGAGGAAGCTATCCAGCTAGCTTACGGAACGTCGGTGATTCTACTCAGGTGCCCGTTCGTGCCTGAAATAATGCACGGAAGGGCACCTGAAGTCTTCCTCCACCAGTAAAGCTGGAACATCGCAATATGATCTATACTGTGTCGATGTGACGTAAAACCCAAAACAAAAACAAAAATGTTGGTCATAATTACATTGTATGACCTATCTTCCTCTTTGTGAATTCCTACATTATCCAGGCTTCCGTTTTACTATCAAACTAGGAGAATAGCCATGTTTGCTATCCCACTGGCAGTTCTTTTTGTATATTTTTCTAAATTACTAGTAAGATTAAATTGAACATTCCATTAAATAGTTTCTATTGCATTGCAGAAGTGCATGAAGTTCTCTTGTTTTTCTACCAATCACAGATTCTTATGTACTATTTGAAACAAGTTACATATACATGTACAGTTGTATATACATTTACTTGCATTGTGATGTATTGTATTTCTTTTTTTCTTCAGTTTAGTTGTACGGTATACAACCTTGTGACATTTTTCTCGGCTGATATAGCTCCAGACTCGGCCACAAGGTGCTCAGACCTAACAACCAGCACCCACCAGTTCCTCACATGGCTGGACCATGTACAGTAAGTTTTGACCCTAAGGCAGGAGATTCACGGTCATCAGCTTTTGTTTTAAGGTCTTGATTTTTTAAATTGTTATTTTCTATAATTACTAAAATTTTTAAAGCAAAACACTTTTCAATTAGATAAAGCATTAAGGCCAAAAATTTTATATTATTTCATACCAATATTGTTTTCTTAAGTTTTGAACCTGTAAGACTCCTTGTAAATTGCTTAGTATTTTTTTTGCAACATGTCTTCAGAAATTTCAGGCAAGAATAATGTATAGTCTATGTCAAATTGTTATTGTCTGATGTCAGTAGTCAAATTTAAAATTATATAGTAAATAGTACATCCACCATTTATGAATGAAAGTGTGATGTTAAATGTACTTTGTCCTTCAGTCTTGTTAGACATTAATGAAGGGGGTTTAGGTTTTAACTTCCGACCACTTTCCCCTTACTGCTGTGGGTTAAAATCCTGTCAGGACTTTGGATTTGTTCTTGTGAGGAAGCTTCCCAGCTAGCTAACAAAACAATGGTGGTTCTACTCAAGTGCCTGCTTGTGTCTGAAATATTGCAGGGAGGGGCACCTAAGGTCTTTTCCAACCATTAAAGCTGGAAAGACAAAATATTGCGTAGTTTTATGTTTCATTTAATCAGAATAATACATTTATCAATACTTTTATCTCAGATTTATCGGAGGTTGTGGAGAATGTCACAGTCATATATCGGAGGGATTACGTACAGCACTACACGTGTTTGATGATATTAAAGAGAAACGAAACAATGACAGGTTAGTAAAGCATGTTATTGGAAAAATCTGTGTGAAGTTATGTATTTGAATCATTATGAAATTTTAACAATTTGGAGAAGAGTATATTATCAAAGTATTAAAGTACATTTCTAAAACAAAATCTGGTTGTGTTATACATTAATAACATGTAGAAAACTACATTTTTTTGTTAAGAGTTTATTTCTGTGATGAAATTGCATAAACTATATTCTAATCTGTATTCATAGACTGTCCTTAAGTGACACTGTATCATTTACTTAATAAGCCATAATAAAAAATCAAACTCTGGTCCATAATTAAAGTGACATTATGTCCATCTAAGTGTAAATGGTCATTGAATAGGTAAAAATGACTTTATATTTTTCCATAATTATGTTCAATTTTATGTTTTACTAGGAAAAAAATAATCAGTAATCCACTTGACCAACCAAAATTTCTATACTGGTTTCCTAGCAGTTTTCGGCCAAAAATCGCACTTTTTAACAAACAAAATAAAAATCAGTCTACGGAGGGGTACACAACTTTGACAGGACAAAGTTAGGTACCTTTCCAGCATTGCCATGTGTTTAATGTTGCACTCTCATTTTACTTTTTAATTTGAATATAGGCATGAAATGTAACACCTTTTTTCACCTTTATTCAAATATTCATAGCAGTTTTCCGAACCTTTTTTATTTTGACTATAATTCAGTACAATAAAGCAATATTAAAATGGTTTTATCAGACAAATAGAACTTCCCAACCTTTTCTGTGTTGTCTGCAAAAATATTTACCGAAATATTGATTTACATAAAATGGGGACTTAGTTATTGTGCATGGATATTCAAACTAGAATTCCCCAGGTGTTGCTTATTTTTGAAAGTCGCAAGTTCTCTTATGTAACTTTAAATAACAGGTAAAACTTCAAAACATATAAATAGTTGTACTATTTTAAATGCTGTTTAGCATAGAAAACAAATGTCTCTCTGATTGATGAAGTAATATGGATGCCTCAGTGGTAAAAATAGACTGTACTGGACGAAAATGATAAACGGCCGGAAAACTGCTAGGGGACGGAAACTGCTAGGAAACCAGTACATTGTGTAATTACTGTTCAAAATGTATTGGTAATGCTCAATAATGTCACTTTAACAACTAAGCCTAGAGTGTAACTACAATATTTCCTTGATGAAAAATTCTGCAGGAGTGCATTTATTTCTATTTACAGATTATCCCCAGAAAGACACTGTATATTAATTTGTAACTCGCCACCGTATGCCCTGCCCAGTATGGAAGGATGTAAATACACTGGTTACTATAGTGACCAACTTGCCAATATGCTTGCCAAAGTAATTGTCTTTTCTTTATTCTTTTTATCCTTGGTAAGATTATGACATTGATACAGAAATTTAAGGCACTGCCTGATATGCTGATATAAATCATAAGTTTAACTTTAGTTCAGTACAAGCAGTTTGTTTCATGAAACTATCCAGCAAAATGACACTGTGTCATTAGTTATATATTTATTTTAACTTGCGTCTCAGTCAAATAATGCATGGAGAGGCAGCTGAAATAGAGAGAAATATAGAATCCCTACAGAATTCACAAAATGACAAATTGAAAATGTTGAAGGCTCGGTTTGGTAGAGCCTGTTCATAAAAGGTAATGAAAAGTGCAAGTTACCGTTTATGCCCCCTAGCACTGGCTTGAGCAGAATTCAACATTTAACATGAAATGATAATATTTGGAATTTTCTAAAATCCGCAGATGTGTTCATATGGCTGTTATCATGAAAGTCTTCTTCGACCAAAAAAGCTGGAAAGATAATTATGTTTGACCTAACTAACATGCACAAAGACAAGATATCAGTAAGAATTGAAATTGAAGACTTAAGGTCTGATGATAAAAAATATAATTTAAAATTCCTTATGCAGAAATGTAAAATTGTTTATTTTTATCTTCCTTTAGAGAGGTATTAATTTGTCTATAATATCACCAAGAAAAATACCAGCACTTCAAAAGTTGTATGAAGAGGTAATTATGTGTATTTTTATGATTTCAAAAAATATTTAAGCTTTTTTTGTTCTTTTGTTATGGGTTTATGGGATTTTAATATTAAAATACATTGCCACAAACAGTATAGAGCCTGGTCAGACTTCACAGATATGCTGGCTGGACTCACAGTTCACTTGTTGCAATGGCATAGTCCAGTCACTTTCAGTATAGGCAGGTCACATTTTAAATGTACGTAGCAATCTATAAGTGTTTCACTGTGTTCTACATTTGTTTGCTTATTATTTAGATAAAGTTAATTCTATGGAATATTTGTCTCTACACAGTATAATCTGTCCCAGATTAAAGTAATTATCTTCCTCTGTTTGACATGCATTTAATGATACAGTTTGTATGGTTTTCTGGGAAAATCTCATGCATTAATGAATTTTTTATTCAAATGACTTTACAAACTAAAATTGTATTTGTTGCATACATATGTACTTTCTGATCAAATATAGGATGAAAATCCTTCATTTAAGATCAATTATTATTTTAAAAAGAGCTTCAAAATGAAAAACAATAATATTTGACTTGATTGTGTCTTGTCAAGCTCAGAGATAAGTCCAGCTTGCTCTCCTTCTAACAGGTTTTGTTTTGTTATCTATAGGCTAGTACTACAGATATCCCTGCACAGAGCAAAGATTTCTCCATAGATTTACATCATCTCATCTTGTTACATGGTTATGAACTTGAAGGTAACACATTGTTTCTTGGTATATAATTATATAATGTAATAGATCTAGGTTTTTCTTTTGTCAAATCTCATAAAAGATTGTTTTCAATAACATAAAATGAATCTTGAAATCATATTTTCAATTCCATACAGTATTTTTTTAGGTATGTTTGAATCTTTCATATTTATCTTTAAAAGTGTGATATGCTTATTTTACAATTGAACAAAGCGGGCTATAATGCCAATTATCTCACTAAAGTTCCAGGATTCTGTACCAATACTGTCTTGTTTATCTGCAAGTAAATGCCAACTATGCTCGTACATAATTTGTGAACAGCAACATGGGAAGAATGTCAGATGCAATGTCAAGCTCCCACAGCCACTATTAAGGGGCATGTAGCTTTGCTTGTTTTGTCCATCTGTCCGCCAAGCTGTCCATACATAGACTGACAAGGATCATTGAGGCATACTGTAAAATCATTATTAATCGTGGGGCACAAATTTTCGTGGTTTTGGTGGATAGGTCAATCCACGAATTTTAAGATCCAAGGAAATTTTATCCCAACAAGTACTTCTTGCCATGTCTCTATTCTATATATTACAAACATGCATCGGCGCTTTTCCGCCGATTTTTGTGTAATGAATGCCCAGAGGCAAGGATTAAATCTATTGACAAGCGCTGTGTAATACTTAAAGATATGTACATGCGGTTAGTAAAATGCGAGGCGATTAAGTGTAAGATTACTTTGCATAAGGTTATATATTTTATTTTTTTTACAAGAAATTGAAAATCCACGAATTTAAGAACCCACGAAAATGCCCGTTTTGATAAAACCACGAAATTTCATGCCCACGAATATAAGTGAATTCACAGTATGTGTCTTATTGAACATTTCTGGTTTTCACTTCTGTTGTCACAGCATAACTTGTGCATAATCCAGGACTTGAACTTAAAAAAGCTGAAGACATTATAGCTATACTTGCTGTGCCTAGCAGACCAGCTGTATAAACAACATTTTACAGATACTTTATATATTATGATCAATTTCTTTTTTGTGGAAGTAAACAATACTACTGGAAGAATTTTTTGGATAAAACCAAACTCTTTGGTAATAAAAATGTAAGATAAAAGTCTTGAAATATTAACATGAATGGTTTTATATTTGGATTATTTTCAGAGAGAGCTCACACTCCTGTATCTGGAGAAGATGAACACATGAAATCACTACTTGGTAATGACTGTAAATTGTTTCTGAATCATTGATAAAAACACACACACTTCTTATAAGATCATTGATAAAAACCCCTTACCTCTTAGTTAAGTTGATATAAATTTATTTTAGTTTGATTGTTTTGGAAGCAATAACGTTATTGAAACACTCAAAAATCCGTTCCTGGAACCAACCAGTACTAAGAAATAATTGTAAAGTTTCTTGCTTAAGAAAACAATGGCTTGCCCCTGACCGGGTTTGAACCCTTGGATCACAAGTCCGACATGTTAATCACTCAGCCATGCCCCACACCTCTTAACAGACCATTGATGAAATGCATACTCCTTATTAGGATGTATCACAATATCCAATTGCAAATTAAGAACATGACTATGCTTTTTTGAAACAAAGTCTTATACTGTGATTATGTAACTTTATAAAGACCATAATGAAATCAAACCTCTCGAAAATGACCCTGATGCCACCTAACTGACCTCCAGTATTTAATTAATACCTTATATAAATACATGTATTAGTCATCTTTTTCTTGAAATGATTAATAAGAGTATGCCTTGGATTGTCCAACCTCATTAACCTTTAACCTTGCTGGAGCCAGGAAATAACTTGTCTTTGCGGCCAATATTATGCCAGGATAGCCTGCTCATTTGTGCAGTTTGACGAAGCTTTATGCTGTTGGCTGACCAGCTTCAAATTTTTATGTTGATATCCCCAAAAGTGATAATAGACAGTTCCAGGAATGAATGGTGGACTAGTCCTGTTAAGAAATTCTGCAAGTTATGGGTTAAACATTAGCAAATGAGTGGAAATGACAATCACAAACAAGCCTGATTTTACAGTTTTGGTGTGATATTAAATTGTCTTATAGAACAATGCCATATAATAAGTACGAGTATATGTGTTAAATACAGAAGTACAAATGTATATTTGGTTTATGCAGAATTTGTTTCAGTTAGATTGTGTAGGAAGCTATAAGCTCATAGAAACACTTTCGAATCTGTCCCTGGAACCAACCAGTACTGAGCAATGAGTGTAGTTTCTTGCTCAAGGAAACAACGACTTGTACATGACGGGGGTTTTTAATACATGAGACTAGCAATCAATAGATTACTAGACCGACGAGTTAACCACACGGCCATGTCGCCACTAAGAAGTATATTTGAATAGATAAAAACATATTACAAGTATATTTTTTGCAATGAATTGTCAATTATAGTCTAGTAGAATCTTTTTAATACATATAAAATATTATTGGTTTTATCTAGCATCTCCAGCCCCGACAGACATTTTTAAAGTACCTACAACAGCTCCATCTGTGATGCCACAGCCAAATCCCCAAACTTCACAACATTCTCAACCAGCACAATCACAACAAGGTGAGTTTCTTGCATTCATATAGAGATCCATTTGTATATAAATATACTCTAATATTGAATATTAAGATCCATCAATAGATCGTCTCCTTAGTGCAGTTACGGGTTAATTCCTTATATTATACGATAGGAGTTAACCGGTTATTGCACTAAAGTGACAAGATATTGCTTAAATAATGCAGAAAAAAAGCATTCATGATTTGCTTAGATAAAGTCAGCTTAGGGTCTATGGATTTGAGTTTGTGACTTCAAATCGTCAGAGAGGCATATGTTTTGTTGTGAACAATTTTTTAAGTCCTAATTTCAAACGATAAAAATATCCAAGATATATTGTCTAGGTAAATACAGCTGGTTTATGTCTGAAATTTGTTAAAACTGCTTCCCAGTCCATCGTATCAAACAGAAGACTTTGATGTACACTTTAAAGGTACATCTCTGGTACTATGTGGTATGTAGAATGTATGTTTGCATGACCTAGAAAGACATAATGTATGTTTTTGTATAAAACTCATGACATATCTTGAAGCAGTGAACAAAAGTTTTGCTATAAATTTATAGATAAGAGGGCACTGGTTAATTTTATAGTAATGTGCTATTCTTCATTAGAAATTAATGAATATTATGTAATAGGTAATATGCCACAGCAGTCTAACCAGTCAGTGCAGAAACAGACAAACCAACAGTTACCCTTCCAGTCACAGCAACAACCAGGCCAGGTACCGGCCCCTCAACAAAATAAATTAGGGAACCAGCAACAAGGCATGATGACTCAGCAGCATCCACAACAGCCAATCACATCACAGCAACAGCAGATGAAAGTAGGTAGAGGGTAGTCAGATATTGTAAATTCACTTAATTTCGTCAGCATGAAATTTCATGGTTTTGCCATGAAAGACATATTCATGGGTTGTTAAATTTGTGAATTATTTGCTTTTTGCAAAAAAAGTAAAATGCAAATAATGTAGTATGAAAAATTGTAGTGCAGATGAAATATGAATTCAATGACTCAAAAATGTGTGGATTGACCTATGATTTCAATGACTCAAAAATGTGTTGATTGACCTATGATTTCAATGAATCAAAAATGTGTGGATTGACCTATGATTTCAATGAATCAAAAATGTGTGGATTGACCTAAAACCAAGAAAATTAGTGCCCCGCTGATAATTATGTTTTCGAAAGTAGTTGTTCACTATTGATTGTCCAGAGGTGTTTGTCCAGAGGTGTTGAGTGTCTTAGATAATTATGTAAATGAAAACATTGTTAACAGCTTCAGTCTGTATAATTATGTGTGTATATTTCTTTGTTTATAGAGGTTTTTTATTCCTCAATTATTGTTGCATCTAAAGGTTATCTGGGTTTTATACTTTTTCCATTAGTTCACAAGAATCAGTACTTCAGAAATGTTCCTGTTGTATTAACCCTGAACCAGCTTAATACCTTTAATGAATTTGCCCCTCTTTCTATCTGGACAAAACCATTCTTTATTTTTGGGGAAAATTTCAAAATAACTGAATGGCAAATAGTGCAGACCTTGATCAGATGGCATGGATGTGCTAGCTGATCTTGGTCTGCACTTGTTGCATGGTTAGATCCATTTGCCACCCGTAGGCTAAGATTTAAATGAGAGGATATGTTTTTCAGGATCAGCAACAGAGAATGTTTGGTGGTGGTCAGATGAACAAACCACCTGGTATGTCAGTGACCAACATGGCCCAGCAACAGCCTCAGTTACCATACAGTACAATGGGTCGACCACCAAACCAGACTTCACAGGGCATAAACTCTACGGCAAATCAGGTATGAGCAATAGACTACATTTTTATGACTATATTCTAATACTATATATAATTTCCATCATTATTCAGACAGAATACCTTTATCTAACTTAAGCTCTAGGCATAGGGGTTTTGGAGAAAAAGGTTTTCTTCTTTTTTCTTCTTTGACACTACATAAAATAAAGTGACCCCTTACGTGTTTTACCATTAATGATAATCAATTTATCGGCTGTATTTGTATGATGGATTTGCCTTGCTTTGAATTTGGAACAGTCCATTCAAAGTTTTAGATATTTTAAGTCTCGGAATACAAAAATTTAGCAATCAAAATTGTTTTGCCCGGCTCTTTACTGGTGACAAAGGCTAATTATTTTTGGTTCCACGTAGGGTTAGCGTGAAGTATGAAAATAATTATGCTTTCTTATTATAAAGGATATGAGCATGATGAATCAAGCCAGGCTACAGAACATGGGAGGTCCTCAGATGTCACAGGACACTGGTATCATGCCAGTTGTTGGTGGCAACCCTCAAACTACCAACATGCAACAGTCAAAATCAGGCATGATGGTGAATATGGGACCAAATATGGGACCTGGGCCACATAACATGGTACCAGCATCTACTGGTATTACATCAATGCCTTCTAGTACAGGTATGGTAAAAAAATTAGTAATAATTATGCCCCCATTTCGAAGAAAAGGGGGTATATTGCTTTGCACTTGTCGGTCTGTCGGTCCGTCGGTCCGTAGACCAAATGGTTTCCGAGTGATAACTAAAAAACCCTTAGGCCTAGGAACTTCAAACTTGGTATGGTGATTGGTCATGACAAGTAGATGACCCCTATTGAGTTTTGGGTCAAGGGGTCAAAGGTCAAGGTCACATTGACCTTGTAAGCAAAAACGGTTTCCGATCAATAACTAAAGAACCTTAAGGCCTAGGAACTTCAAACTTGGTATGGTGATTTATCATGATCAGTAGATGACCCCTATTGATTTTGGGGTCAAGGGGTCAAAGGTCAAGGTCACATTGACCTTGTAAGCAAAAACGGTTTCCGATCAATAAGTAAAGAACCTTAAGGCCTAGGAACTTCAAACTTGGTATGGTGATTGGTCATGATCAGTAGATGACCCCTATTGATTTTGGGGTCAAGGGGTCAAAGGTCAAGGTCACATTGACCTCTTAGGTAAAAGCAGTTTCCGATCAATAACTAAAGAACCCTTAGGCCTAGGAACTTCAAACTTGGTATGGTGATTGGTCATGACCAGCAGATGACCCCTACTGATTTTGGGATTAAGGGGTCAAAGGGCAAGGTCACATTGACCTTGTAGGGAAAAATGCTTTCCGATCAGTAACTTAAGAACCCTTAGGCCTAGGAACTTAAAACTTGGTATGGTGATTGGTCATGACCAGCAGATGACCTATTGTTTTTAGGGTCAAGGGGTCAAAGGTCATGTAACATTGACCTTGTAGGTAAAAACGGTTCCGATCAATTAACTAAAAAACGCTTAGGCCTAGGAACTTCAAACTTTGTATGATGATTGGTGGTGACCAGCAGATGACCCCTATTGAGTTTTGGGTCAAGGGTCAAAGGTCAAGGTCACATCAACCTTGTAAGTAAAAACGGTTTCTGATCAATAACTTAAGAACGCTTAGGCCTAGGAACTTCAAACTTGGTATGGTGATTTTTCATGACCAGCAGATTACCTTTTTCGATTTGGGATCAAGGGGTCAAAGGTCAAGGTCACATTGACCTTGTAAGTAAAAACGGTTTCTGATCAATAACTAAAGAACGCTTCGGCCTAGGAACTTCAAACTTGGCATAGTGATTGGTCATGATCAGCAGATGACCCCTATTGATTTTGGGGTCAAGGGGTCAAAGGTCAAGGTCACATTGACCTTGTATGTTAAAACGGTTTCGGATCAATAATAAAGAACCCTTAGGCCTAGGAACTTCAAACTTGGCATGGTGATTAGTCATGACCAGCAAATGACCCCTATTGATTTTGGGGTCAAGGTCAAGGTCACATTGACCTTGTAAGTAAAAACGGTTTCTGATCAATAACTAAAAACGCTTTAGGCCTGGAACTTCAAACTTTGTATGATGATTGGTCTTGACCAGCAGATGACCCCTATTGAGTTTTGGGTCAAGGGGTCAAAGGTCAAGGTCATGACCAGTAGATACTTGATAACCCTTATTAATTGTTTGATCACTGGGTCAGAAGTCATGCATAATTACCTTATCACATGAATAATTGGCTGCTGATAGGGGGCATACATGTTTTACAAACATATCTTGTTATACTTGACTTCTAACCACTTGCCCTTACCACTGTGGGTTTGAAGCCTGCCACAGACTTTGATTCTTCCATGTGAGGAAGCTATCCAGCTAGCTAACACAATGTTGGTGGTTCAACTGAGGTTCCTGTTTTTGACTGAAATAATGAATGAAGGGGCATCTGAGGTCTTCTTCCACCAGCACAGCTGGAAAGTCGCTCTATGACCTTTACAGCGATGGTGCAACAAGGAATTTGTTGTATGGCATCAAATGTTTAAGCTTCTAGTACCTTTTACCATAATTGCATAATTAAGAGGTAGTCTAAGTCATTATACCACAGGAATGCTGCCATCAAGCTTTCAGAGAAAATTGGCAAGAAAGCTTTCATCTGTAATTTTTTATGATATAAACATGTGAAATTAAATGCTGACATTACCCAGAGAAGTACAAACTGTTTTTAGTCCCCTACCGGTTTACCGGAGGGGACTTTAGGTTTACCCTCCGTCCGTCTGTCTGTCTGTCCGTCCGTCTGTCCGTCTGTCTGTCTGTCTGTCTGTCAGTCCGTCAGTCCGTCCGTCCACAAAACTGGATCCCGCGATAACTTGAAAAGTACTGAAAATATTTTTATAAACTTGATATATGGATAGATGCAGTATGGAGATTATGCACGTCTTTTTCTTTTTCTCCTATGTTGAAAAATTCTGGTTGCTATGGCAACAAATAGGACTGAAAATATGGCAAATTTTACACATAAACTGATCCAGTTGATAACGCAAAAAAGTACTGGAAATATTTTTATGAAACTTGAAATATGGGTAGATGGCAGTCTGGAGATTATGCACGCTCTTTTTCTTTTCTTCCCAT